TGTAACTGCATTGCTATACAAAACAGCGATTTTGTTGTCGATTAACGAAGACCTATCATTCCTACTAAAAACCATGATGGAAAAGAAAACAAGCAACATGTGATCGATATTTTTAAAACATTATCTAACTAGATTTCTTTAGTTTTCTATTTATAGCATTATTTAACCAGAATTCTTTATTTTTCTATTTAACGACATTTCTGTGTAGTTCTTATAGAAGGTAATATATATATATACTATTTAATAAAAGGCATAACCATAAACGTACAAGTAAAATAAAGATCGATCAAACACTACTAATTGCGTCAAGGACTTTACACGATAGAGCTTTGTCATTTCCATTTTCACACGAATGCTTTTTTAACGAATGTCGATGAAAGATCATGTGTTAATTTATATTGGATAAAATTTATTTCAATACGTAAAACGATTGAATAAATTTCTGAATGATTTTCAGTATGCCGGAATTGAAAAATGGCACCTTTTTCGTATTTTCTAATAAAGGTCCCAAAGCTGTTTAACAAGGTTTCCGGTAGATTTCTAAGCAATTTGGTAGCACTTAGTGTGTGCCCTAAAATAACATGAGCCAGTTTTGTATGGGATCTACTTCCCGATGAATCAAATTATGTAGAAATCGTGATTTTTGCTACCAGCAATGATTTGCGAAAGGTGTCCTGACGCCCATGGCGTCAAAATTATAAGGAAACGACCCATGAAACGCATTACTATCATACATTAAAACGTTTCAAGGCGTTTCTTGTGAGAAATAATGCGTTTTACTTCGTTTCATAATAAAAGAAATGCATTTTGGAACGTCTACTTTTCGAAACGACGCAAAACGCATTGGTTATTGAAACGCATGTTGAAGCGTTTACAGGAAAAAAACGCTGTGGAATGAGACTTTTGTTCATTTTATCACAATGATGTAGAACAAATTCTAGAAAAGCATTTCACAGCATTTCACTTGTAAGAAACGCTTGGTTAAGAAAATTTTCTTTGACTGTTTATTTATGACGAGTTATGAACAATCGGGAAAGATATCAGACTTGGATTTATTAACATGAATATCACTATAAATGCGTTTTTTTTTATACAAACAACCATGTTTCAAATGCTTCTTTCGTTTGTGATCAAAGCGAAGAGACTAGACAAATACTGACAATGAAAATAAATGTTTGCTTCCTAAGTAAATTAACTTGTCAACCTTGTGTTGCAGAAACTTTTACCTATATTTAAATTACAAGCAATGTTAAAAGCAATAGAAAATATTTAAGTATAATGAAGACTCATTTATGGTTAAAAATCTAGCGAAAATGGTAGTTAAGTTCTTTAAAATAATTATTCTCAAGCAGATTGTCGAGTAGCCGGATGTTCGCCAATAGGACTTTCGTAAATCGGACTTTCGCCATTGGCGAACGTCCACTGATCTTTCGCCAAAATACCTTCTGTACTTTCGCCAATTGGCGAACTTCCACTAATCTTTCGCCAATATATCCCTGTACTTTCGCCAATTGGAGAAATTTTATTGACCTTTCATTTATTTGACTGAAAATCTAGTATCGAGTAAAAACTGATCATTTATTACACTCAGATAATATTCATTTATATCATCATCATAACTTTATTACTCAATGCCTGTCATAACTCGTGCTGCAGCATTACGGTCGAAGATAATTGGTGTTTCAGACGCTTCACTTGATGAAGCAACATTACCTGCTACATCCGTGACAAAGTCTACTGCTAAAACTACTAGGACATGTGGATTAAAACAGAAACAGAAAGAAAGAGCAGCAGATTCGACAATAAATTGCAGTAAACCAGAAACAGGCTTTGAATCACAACAACAATCATCAATTTCGAAAACTGAATCTGTTCTTCAAGCTAATGTTAATTCAGATGATGAAGGTACGTATTTAAACAAATAAGTTAATGCATGATTTAATAAACTGTTTTCTAAAGAAACAACAGTATTATTACCATCACCTGATCAAACAGCAGCAACGTTTGTTACAAAATCATCAACAGAAAATAGTGATCACTCTATAGTTTCATTAGATTCATCAAATAATAATGATATAGTTGAATCGGAAGGTGATGCTGATGTTTTCCTAAATGTACCAGTAGTTAAAGGAGAAATAATATCAGGTACTTCAATTCGAAAGGGTAAAATGATCTTCATGAATGGCTTTAGTTATTTGTATATGAGCACAGCAAAAGAAACCATCGGTTGGCGTTGTGCCAGACGAAATGTAAATTGTAAAGCAGTGATACATACTTTAAAAACAACAGGTGAATTTAGTCGTTGGAATGGTATATTTCATTATCATACAGTTGATCCAAATGAAGCACGTAAACGAGAAATTTTGGGTACCATCAAAAAGAGAGTCTTGGATGAACATATTCCTGTCAAAATCATCATTGAACAAGAATATAGAAAAGCCAACTTATCAACAGAAGAAAAACGAATAATACCTCTGCCATCGAAAATTGGTAGTTAAAAATATCAATAGTTTATTTTCATTAGAATTAGCTTCTTTTTCTAATTTTTTTAATTTTTATTAGAATCTGGCCTTCATAAAACCCGACGAAGAGCATTACCACCTGTACCACGTGATCAAAAATTTGTTGTACCACCTGTTTATTTAGAAACCTATTCCAAAGAGCCTTTCTTGATTTATGATAAACGAAAAAGTCAATATGGTGGACGTTTAATGATGTTCGCTTCGCCGGAACAATTGGATGTTCTCTTTCATTCGGACATATTATTCGCGGACGGCACTTTTCGTGTGTCGCCTATCTTGTTCGAACAATTGTATGTTCTTCTTGGAATGCAGCATGGAGAAGGTGTGTGAACATTTTCTTCTCTTTTCAATTAGTTCTCTCTATTGCCAAATGAGAGAAAAATAATATACGAGAAAGAGAGAAAGAAAAGAAAATGTGATAGAAAAAGATATATGTCAAATGTACGCCAGTGAAGACGATGGAATCGCTATTACGAAATGATGATGAAAAGAAGTAGATATTTTCATCAAACATTTCTTTATTATATTATTTATAATTGAAAACTGACATACCTTTTTTTCTTTCTTTTCCATTATTGTAGCTGTACCAGTCTGTTTTATTTTGACTTCTAATCGACGTCATGAAACCTATGAAGCTATTTTGCGTTGCTTACGAAGGATTGGATCGAAGAAAGGAATTGACTTGAAACCAAGAAGTATCATTTGTGATTTTGAGAGAGCTTTCATGAAAGCTGTTGCAAAACAAGTAGAGGATCTTCTCTCTTGTCAGTATATATTACTGAAGAATTTTTTGTTTTTATAATTTAGCTACCAGAAACACTCGTTACTGGATGCTGGTTTCATTTTTGCCAGTCTTGCTATCGGAATATTCAACAACTTGGTTTAATGAAGGTTTATGATACTGATGCTGAAGCAAGACATTTATTGCGTGCTTTCATGGGTTTGGCCTTATTACCAATGAATCTTATTCATGATGGTTTTATAATGTTAAAGAAAAAAGTCAAAACGTCTTGTTATCGAAATCAATTAGAAGTGTTCGTATCATACTTTAAAAGCGAATGGATTGACCATTTTAAACCTTCAATGTGGTGTGTCAGTAACAGCAGATGGCGAACGAACAATTTCGCTGAAGGTAGAATGAAACTTCACTATCAACTTCATAGAAATTGTGCTGAATGATTTTTCTATTTAATTGTTCATTTCAGCCCAAAATAGAAGATTTTTCTCACGTCTTGTACAGCCACATCCAAATCTGTGGCGATTTATACAATGCTTGAAAGAAGAGGAGAGTGTTGTGTCTCATAGAATGGGTCAAACTGGTTTAGGTTTTTCTTCAACTAGACCATCAAAATCAACACGTTTGGCAGCACNTAAAGGTCCCAAAGCTGTTTAACAAGGTTTCCGGTAGATTTCTAAGCAATTTGGTAGTACTTAGTGTGTGCCCTAAAATAACATGAGCCAGTTTTGTATGGGATCTACTTCCCGATGAATCAAACTATGTAGAACTCGTGATTTTTGCTACCAGCAATGATTTGCGAAAGGTGTCCTGACGCCCATGGCGTCAAAATTATAAGGAAACGACCCATGAAACGCATTACTCTCATACATTAAAACGTTTCAAGGCGTTTCTTGTGTGAAATAATGCGTTTTACTTCGTTTCCAATAAAAGAAATGCATTTTTGAACGTTTACTTTTCGAAACGACGCAAAACGCATTGGTTATTGAAACGCATGTTGAAGCGTTTACAGGAAAAACGCTGTGGAATGAGACTTTTGTTCATTTTATCACAATGATGTAGAACAAATTCTAGAAAAGCATTTCACAGCATTTCACTTGTAAGAAACGCTTGGTTAAGAAAATTTTCTTTGACTGTTTATTTATGACGAGTTATGAACAATCGGGAAAGATATCAGACTTGGATTTATTAACATGAATATCACTATAAATGCGTTTTTTTTTATACAAACAACCATGTTTCAAATGCTTCTTTCGTTTGTGATCAAAGCGAAGAGACTAGACAAATACTGACAATGAAAATAAATGTTTGCTTCCTAAGTAAATTAACTTGTCAACCTTGTGTTGCAGAAACTTTTACCTATATTTAAATTACAAGCAATGTTAAAAGCAATAGAAAAGATTTAAGTATAATGAAGACTCATTTATGGTTAAAAATCTAGCGAAAATGGTAGTTAAGTTCTTTAAAATAATTATTCTCAAGCAGATTGTCAGCATTATATTTCATTTTTGTAAGAAAATGTTAATTTTATGTATATTTAAATTTTTTAAATGCAGTTTATTAAGTATAAATATGCATCAACGATGTAAAATAATCTTTTATTTAAGAGCTTTCAAGTAGAGTTGGAAATCGAAAAAAGTAAAAAAGATTAGGCTTCTGTTGATAATGAACTAGTTTTTCGATTACGCCTTCAGCTTTAATAAATACACCACTTTCATCGTTATTAATGCTACCGATGCTAATGTTTCGACATTGAAATTTTCGGTTGCCATACGTGCAGTGTAAGTTTTCCTTGAATGTAGCTTTTTTTATCTTAAAAAATGTTTTCTCATTGACAAGCAAAATGTATTGGATGAATCCCACATATATTAATGTATTGAATCGATAAAGAATGCACGAGTCATCGTTTTTTGTTTTGTTTTTGCAAAGTCTCTTGTGGTAAATCTCGTTGTACCGACAAAAGCTATGTGATAAAGTTGAAATTCGTCATATTGGAACATTTCTTTGATATCCTTGTATTGACTACCTTCGATTTTGTGTTTCATTCGTAATTTAATAATGCTATGATGTCTACTTTTATCCATTGATGTTCTACTCATGTTGATTCGTTTTTTACTTTGAATTTGTTCCAATGTACTCTTCAGCTCATTGTTGAAATCATTTGCAAGAGTGTTTCGAATAGCTAGACGCAGTAGATTCATTGTATTAGAAATTTCTTTAGCATGATGCTTTGTACTATGCACAGTTGCTCGTAACATACCTAAAATAAATAGATAGACAGGTATAAAAAAAAATGAGCAAACTATGTTACCAAGAACAGATTCAAAATTATAGGTTGAATAATTTGATAGTTGACCATAGTTCTGAACACTTTGTGCAACATGATCAATGCTATGTATCACTTGTTGATTGTGACGATCGGTATACAATAGCGGATATTCATATAGAAAAGTATCTAAAATAAATCGCGTTCAAATACATTATTCATTAGTGTAGAAGAAAGTACTCGTTGGACCTGATAAAAATTGAATGTCTTCAATATCTCCAGAGCGCAGTGAACGAGATTCAGCAAGGTGCAGTGCAAACACAAGTAAAAGATAATTTTTGTAGATAGTTGAGGTCAAATAATGTTTAAATACAGGTGCTGCAAAAAGTAAAATTAAACGAAGCTCATTAGCTTTAAACCGATGAAATTTAACAAGTGGTCTTGGAGTTCTACTTGTTGTTGATGGGTATCGATACTGACTTAACGTTTTGCTGATGATAGTAAGTTTTGTAAAGCATGACCAATTTGAACGTTTAAAATCTTCTGAAAACCACAATTTGAGCAACTTTTTCTTAAAATAAAGAAAATAACATACAGTTGAAAATACAATAAATAGTGATCTTTTCAAGTTAATTGAATAGCGTAGTCGAAATTTCCGAATAATATAGAAAGAAATGAATGATACCTTGTTTCTTTAGAGCAGTCTGATTTGAACTATCTTCTATAGAAGTAGCTTACTAATTGTTATGTACTAGCAAATGATATACTATGCATAATAAACGTTATTATCTCTATTTCATCTAATTCAAATAAAAGTATACTAACCATAGCACCACCCAAAGATTATGAAGCGAGTCTGTAAGAAAAGACTCACCCACATCGAAATACTTTACTGAACGTAACGCACATTTTCCTAAATATCCTTTTCGTTGATCCTCTGTTGGGCTATCCATTGTCATGATTTGATCGTAGTTTTGATTTGATCGACATTCTGCTTTATTATCAGCTTCTGACGACAATGGGAAAACGCGAATATGGTGATTGATGCCTTCGCGACTAGGAACCGTGACTCCTAAAAACAAGGAAATAGCAACATCAGATTAGACAATAATCATATATAATACCTAGAAAATATGAAAAAAAAATGAGTGAAGACATTTTAATATGATAGAAAGAAGAAATTTTCTTTGTATATAGACTGCATCAGAGCAATTTTTGAAAATACTCATTAAATAATCAGAGAATCAGAAGTATGGTAAATGTTCATAAACAGATTTCATTGATTAGTTGTGAACAAATCGAATCCTTGATTGAAAAAGCTTTTATTTAAAAAAGATTAGTTTTAAGTCATAAAGATTTGAGAACAACTAATATGTTCGTATATAATCGTAATAATCTCAATGATGCATGATTTTAATCTATAGCCACTTCAATGCTTTTTCTAACTGAATATTGGTCAATTTTTTTATCCAATATAGAACTAATTATCAATCAAAATCATCTTTTTCTCTTTTGGAGTTTTTCACAATCAAGATTCTGTCAAAAATGTAAGAGTATTGCATAGAAAATATTTGGAAATTCGCATCATTCGATTTTTCCATAAAAATTCCTACGTTTCTTTCTCATAAATCACTCGTACCCGGAATCTCGCAACGACCACAGCCGAACTTTCCAATAGGCTCGGGTGTATTCTGTACTAAGGCCTGTGCAGGCTTGTCACATGTCGCTCCAATTAAAAAAACTTTCAGCTTCACGAATCGATCTCCTAAAGCTCTAATGAAGTAAACATTTTCATTTTCTAATGACTGTAATTCATCAGTCATCGATTTAACCATAGCAAACATTTGCTCTCTACTGGGCTTTTGAGGCCCTGGCCATACACCACCAAATATACAGTTCTGTAATTTATAACGATCTGATCGATTGATCTCGTTCATGATGAACTGTAAATTAAAAGGATCAGTTATATATTAATCATACAAATTAATTTTAATGACAGCTTACAGTAAAAATCCAAAGGCTGTTATCTGAACTTCCTGACATGGCTATTCCGTCAACATTCAACATGAGGGTTATAAAGTTTGATTTATCTTCATTTTCAGCAATTGACCGACACCAGTCTGCGTGTTGGATCTCAGCAATACGATCATTTGGCCACACAGGTGATTGGGAATGTAATACAAAATTACGTTCTGTTGCCAAAATGGATTGAATTTGATCCTTGATTGGAAATTTGAGAAAAATAGAAGATTGTAGTTCTCGATTATTTTGTTGACACGTTGCATCATCGCACACATCTTTATAGACGTTATTGCATTGATGACAAATATGTAAAATATCTGGTTTCATATTATCTGACGCTTCACGTTCCATTAAACGTTTCGCTGCTGCAAAGCTCTTTGGAGCATTGGGTACATGAAATAAGCGCAGTAGTCTGCAAATATCAGATACGGCCCTTGTTGTCAGTTTGTGTCGTACTTTGAGAATAATTAAAGTCGTTGCTATTTCTTTTTTTGTAAGATTTCTTTTGATCGATGGTTGACTATCATATGTTATTCTAAAGAAAAATGAATGATAAATGTGTTTGATAATAAAAAATGTACCAAGAAAAAAGCACAATACTAATAATTAAATTAAACTCTTTTGGTCAATAGTAACAGAACCTAGTGTTGAATTAGGTTGTAACAAAGTTCGCTGTCACTTCTATCAAGCAGCAGTTGTCATAGATTGAGAAATAATTTTAATTACTGTGTATCAATTAATGTTTCAGATCCATTGTCATCAATCCAATCTGCAGCATTTTCCGTATCTGCTTGATCTCTTAATAAAAAATTTATTTGGAGGTGTTTAAAAAAGTAAGAATTGAAATTTTATACTGGACTTCATGCAAGCTGATGGTTTCTATGTCATGATGTATTTCTTCCATCAGTTCATTTTCGTCTTCAGCTAAATAAAAAAATTTGATTATTAAATTGAACCAGTTTACATGAGATAATTATGCAATACTCGAGTTTATTTCTCTTGTAGCTCTACATTGAAAAGTATTGTCGAATACATAAGAGTTTTTATTTAATTGTTGTTTTCTTCTGTGTGCAGTACGAGCAGACCACATGTCTTTATCTATAGTATAGTATATCTAAAAACCGCAAGTAAATTCAAATTCTTAAAGTATTCCATGTGAGCATATCTGATATAATCGTTATACTGTGCGCAAACATTTTTATAAGATGAGTCTTTTAAGTATAGTTATTTATTTATGTTCTTTATGATTTAATGAAATTAACAATCAAAGTATTACGATAGACAAAACAAATGTTTCATACATGAACGAATTATACATCCTATGGTTGAAAAAACTTGTTGGTGTCATCGTGTGGGCATGATTGTTACATTTTTTCAAGTAACCATTGTTACGCCACTAAGACGGCACACCAGCTGCTGAATGTAACGCCTTGAACTTCGCTGTTCTGAACGGGCCACTAATTGCTTCATTGATCTTTCCTCGAACAAATAATTCAGTCGGATGACAATATTTCACGTAGCCTAGAAAATGTATTGAAGTATTCATGTTACAATAGAACGAAAAATTTGGATAACTACCAAGAATTGAGTCACGAACGCTGTCAGGAATATCTTCCAGTGTACGACTTTTCGATGGAAATAAGTAACGAACGATTGCTCTTGCAGTAAGTGATCCAGTACTTTGGGTTAATGAAATCAATACTTTCACAGGTAAATTTAATTGTTTACTGAAGTTTTCAAGTACAGTGCCCGATAATGGTTTCTTTTCAAATCGTTGTGCAGTTTGTGAAAACCATTGTTGAATTTCAGGTGGCGGAATTGCTAAACATGTAAGCATAATAAAGTTATATTTTAACTGAAAAATGAAGTGAATTGACCACATACGAATAGTATGATTTTTTAAAATTTCGTTCTCTTTTTGTAATGCCTTATATTTAGCATTCAAACGATCGAATCGATTACGTAAACGATTATGTTCGATAAGTAAAGTATGATTATCTTGTTTATCATACACTCTTTTATTATCAGATACGCCAGTAGCGCTTGTTTCTTCATCAATGTCGTCGTCATCATCTAAGACACTATCATCCAATTGATCAACTGATGAATTGAAGGATTCATTATCATCTAATTGAAAATAGAGGGAAAATATGTTCTTTATCAGGTAAAAATTAATTAATTTAGTAACACAAAGTAATACGTTCAATAAATGTTTTTTTGCAATTTTTATTAGATTTACACCTGTTTAGATTATGCTATCGTAGTCGATTTATTTATAGCTGTTGAGAATACGGAGAATAAATTCCATAGGGCATACCTTTTCGTTGTTGTGTTGTAAGTTGTTTGGGACTAGAATTCAAATTTTCAATGTTCTTTGATTGATCATCTGAATTTCTTGTAGAAGAAAGATCACTGCAACTTGCTAAGCAAGGTAACGAAACAATAAATCTTGGAAAAAAAAACTGTCTTACGATTCGACCACTGTGGTGCCAAGGCTCTATCAGATACCTTTGGTGTAACAAAAATCTTTGATGCTGTTGTTTGTTGATGATTACGAGTTTGTGATGCTGTTGTTGGTTGATGATTATGAGTTTGCGATGCTGCAAGATTTGTGGGTTTCTTCAGATGATGAAAAACATTATCTTTCGTCGAAATTCCTATTTTTTTCCATATAGAAAAACAAATAAAAAGAATATTTTTAATATTTACTAATTTTCTTTTCTTTTGATGTAATATTTTCTTTATTATTTTGCTGCCGAGCATTACTTGTAAATTTTCTCGAACTATTAACTACAGATAATACTTTTGTATTTTTTGCTTGACTTTCCGAAAACTTAGAAGTTGTCGACTTCATACCTATAAGTAGAAAGAAAAATAACATAATGATGAACATATATTCAAAAATCGGAGAATAATCATTACACCCAGTGGTAACCTGCTTCTTTTTTAATTGTTCACACGGGTCCAAGTCAATATCATCAATAAAGTTATTGCCCGATGAAATGTTTGTTAATTCCATACCTGATCTCACATACAAAATTATAATCAAAATTTTATTAATATTGATTAACATACCATTATTTATTCTTGTTTCTTCTATTATGTCCATCTGATGCTGACATGTTTCAAGATCACCTTCACAATAACAGAAGACAAACATAAATAGATACAAGCATGCTACCAGTCAACTTACTTAAACACAATATCTTTACACGTACATGATGACGACCTTCACCTTTCAAACTGCCATCATCACCTACTTTAAGTCGACGATTGGAAGGATTCAAAATTTGATTCAATCGGACAGTTTCCTTATTTTTTTCAACATTTGAATGTTGAATAATACAATGGGTAGCCTTAACAGATTTCGATGTATTTGAGATGGCCGATGCAGCCGAATCGTGCCGTTCAATGGTGTACATTCTAAAAAAAGAAGAGAAAATAATAATGAAGATTTAAGTCCTAATAAGAAAACTAATTTTCAATAAAAGATTTCTATCTGGATGACATGAATAGGTAAAATAAAAATACCGAGGGCATAACAAAATTTTCAAGAAATTTCATTATTAGCTTTCGATTCAGTATCTATAGCCCAACGAGTTTCGATTTGATATATAAACACAAGTTTATGGAGCGAAAAAAAGAAATTCCTCCTATAGAAACACATGTTGAAATAAATAGCTACAAAGAACATTTTAAATGCAGCCAGACATAACGAACAATTCAATGAACTGATTAACCAACCGTTAAATCAACATAACGAGTGTATAAGATTCAAAAAGAAAAAAGCAGATAAGAAAATTCTCGATCGATCAAAAAGAGGAGGATATCAATTGATTCTATACAATGTCGCTGTCTTCTATTATTGCATGAATACTGGAAATAACTTAGCATGTTATTGCATGATTATATACATGAAGTAGGACCTCCATATAATATTAGTGTTTATTATGTTAATATTATATTGATTGATTTTGTATTTTAAATAGAAAATTCAACTATCATTAAGAAAACTCATTCAATAGTTTTTAATATACTGATTTGATCAACACATTGTATATACATTCTTCTCCCTGAAAATGAAACTAGTAAATTTTACATCGGAACGAAATCTTATTGGATGAATTCATACAACCTTACTACTAGTAATTTTTTTCTCGTTCTAGTTTTTTTCGTCATTCACTCCATCCATTGGACTGTGTATATGTGATAAGTGAATTATCGAAATTTGGTGCCAATTCACTGTGCAATTCGTTTATTTTCTAAAATTAAATGTATTTAACATATAAATCTATAGAATATTTTTATTATAATTACTATTCATTTTTTAAACTGGAAGATCGGTTTGCATTAGATGTTACATAATGGAGATATAACGATGTATTATTGTTAATTCATTTCATTTAAAAGTAATTCTTTTAATGCATACTAACTTCATATTTTTTTCTACAAGTCAAATATATATTTCTTGATAGATTTGTATAATGATGAGCACATAAAACATTCAATGGCTGTTTATACTTAATCGAAGTAATTATTAGTTCATGTGAAAGATTTTTTTAATCTATAGATATGAATATAAATTTTCTAATTTTTATTTGCAGTGAAATTATCAAAGTGTTTTGTTAAACGTATGTCAAAAAATATCTTTCAATATTCTCTTTCTAATAAAAGCATGTCAACTACAATACAAGTCAGATCAGTCAAATATAACAGCAAAAATAATATTAAAAATGGTGCCATATATCTCTTAAGAAAGAAACAAAAGCAAATTATACATCATTGAACATGATTAAATGTATACAACATGATAGCATTGATAATGATTATTTTATATCAGTTCCTTTGGCAAACAAGAGGAGTATTTTGTTAATTATGAAGTTCTTTTTTTATTTAGTTTAGTATTCAAATCTGAATCGTTGTTGTCAAGACAAATTTTGTATGAAATATTTTTGCATAGTATTTCATACTATTACTTCTTACTATGTGATGTTCGTTCATTAAGTCTTGTTTTAAGTAAAAATCAAACTCAAATAAAAAGAATATCAAGTACATGGAAAATTGGATATATGAAATCCTCTTTGACATTTATATAAAAACATAGAATTAGATGGAAAAATAATTTATTAAATATGAAATAGACTATACATCTTTTCTTTTAAATAATTATTGTAATCAAATGTAATTATGTGTGTGTATTATTTTAAAGCTTAAAAATCATCACTAACAGACTGCATGACTTTTCTTCTTCGAAAAATAGCAAGTCTCATCAATTTATTAAATAAAAACTATTTTTTAAAGAACAATCACTTTCGAAGACAAAAACTTTATCCAGTCAGAATTGACACATGTATTGATATAGATCGAATCTGTTATATTTTTATTTGTTATTAAATGAACAAAAAACATTCAGTAAAAAAACTTTTCTTTGTATTTTTTTGTAGTTATCAAAATAGCCAATTTCAAAAACACCATCTAAGCAACTGAATCAATATGAAATCAAAATTCTTATGCATAGAGTTGTATTTGGTTTAATTGTTTGTTATCTTGTTTCGTTCTATTCGTGTTCTGTGTTCATTTGTTCGAATCTTCATTGTCACGCACTATGTATTCGCTTCGGAAAAGTGTTGCTGGACACACTGTTGCTCAGATTAAGTGTTAATATGATAGAGAGTTTATCTCGATAAGTAAAATATCTCCAATAACATAATAATTTTTAAAATTTTTGTCTTAAAAACGCGTTTCGCAACGCAGAACAGAAATGACGCAAGCAGTGGTTAAGAATAACGCATTAGTCAGCTGCAAAAATACCGATTGCGAAATGATGTATATTTTAGAGAGTTCTGCAACGTTCATTTTCACAGGTGGAAAACGCATTAATGCTGGCCGCTTTAACGCGTTTTATTGCTGTAAATGGACACATTGCGAAACGCTAGTAAAATCATACTGTTTTCTTCCATTTCATTTAGGAGATGCGAAACGCGTTCTAAAAACGCATTTTTTCTGAGAAAATTTACGCCATGGGCGGGTAAGAACTAGTTTGAGATCTGAAATTTTTAATACAATGAGTATTCAATAAAGCTTCTTAACAAATAGAATTTTAAACATCTGGCATGATCCACTCATGAGAATATTCTGCAGGAATTAAGTAACGGAATCAATTGGAAGCCCAAACAAATAAATCCTAGACTGTTTTCTCAGGGATCTAGAGCGGAGAAAGTATTTCTGACTTCTACGGAGAAGTAGACCAGTCAGGAATCGTTTGAATCCTATAGAATTCTATTATCTCAAGTTATGCCAAGGATGTTCGATAATTTACAGCATTGTGGCAGTCTCCTATACAATGAATATATTTGAAATCTTCCGAATTCATTGGTGGAGAGGATGCCTCCACGGTGTTTTGTTGTTTTTATTATTTATTTAATGTTTCTGTTTTATGTTAGTCTCGTTAAAGTTCGCTTCTTTTTACTCGTCAAGTCTTCCACATGTGTACACTCTTTAAAAAAAGCGTTTCCCCAGAAACCGAACTTTCTTCGCAAAGCCTTTCGGAAACTCAGAAACGTATCCCGAAAGGTTTTCGGCTCTAAGCTGAGTTTATTAAATCGTTTTATAAGATTCCGAGGCCCCGAAACGGTTCGGTCTTCGAGAATTCGGATAGGACACCTTTAACAGTATTCTCAGAAACCATCGAACAATATTCGAAACCGAAAAGTTATCCTCGAAAACCGTTCTCGTTTTGAAACCTTTCTCGGAAAATTAAAGCGTGTCGTCAGCAACCTATCGGTTTTGGACTAGGCATGCACCAAATCCAAATCTTTTGGTCTTGAGATACTGAGAAAAACATTCACTTTGAGAAATAAATTTACTTTACTTTCTTGTGAGCTAATAGTATTTTATTACTTGAAATGAACCCCGGGCATAATATAATTGATCATCGAATGGATGATATTTTCTCGAAACTATAGCTAACAATGATTGAAATTTCTTTTCGAGAACTATTTCTTATTTAAGTTTCAAAATATATAACCTAGAAAATACTTATATAACAAATTTATCATAAAACTCTTCATTCTCATTGATGTCCAATGTTCAAAAATTATGTTGTTGCTTCTATACGAATTGTTTCGTTTCGGATAGATGCCTTCGTTAACAATTCATCTATAGAACATAAGGCGAGTGTTTTTAATCATAAGAAACATCCTCTATTGCAACTGTATTCTGATAGAGCTGGTCTTTAATTATCTTAGTAAAAAGTAGAGCACCCTCAGCTAGTCGAAGTATTGTCGAATGTGTCTCATTTTGAATAAAACATTTATCAATAGTTGCTCAATGATCACAAACTTATTGTCAAGTAAATCAATTTAATAATTTAACATATAAATTATCTAGATGGTGCTGAGTTATTATATTACTTAGTTTCAAAACAATCAAACCGTATTTATGAGTTTTAGATAAGTAACAACTACATCATGTCATCCTATAAAATTGTTTGCAAAATTCTATCAAAGTTCATTTTGATACTCGTCGTATCAAAAGTGAAATATTAGTCTATATAGTTTTCTATAATTGTTTTTTTCTGTGATTTTATCAAAAAAATCGACCGTGCTTTGTGGTTTTTTATACAAACTTCTTATCAAGTAATCATACTTCATTCTTTTATTATATAAATATATGTTCATCGTGGTTATCAATAAAAAAAAGTAAATCATTTGTATAAAATATGAATCAAATACAATAACACTAAAAGGCGACAATTCAAATGAAAAAACACGTGCTGTTCGAAATCAACGGATTTAAAGAATAAAATCATCGAAATAACTGCATTCGGTATCATCATATTCACTGTGTTTATTAAATATCAAGTTCATCATTATCATCATCGAATTTGTCTTTAAGAAACATGGAATAAGACAAGTTATTTGGTGTTAAACGTGATTGTTGTTTTCGTAATAAGTATGAAGCTGTACTGAAAGCGCTTTTGGAAGCAACCGATGTTGCTGGAATAAAAAAATAATCAAAAGCTATTTTGGATAAACATTTAAATTCTGATTGGTGCCGTTACCTAAACTCCATCCATAATATTGAACAAATCAATTGTGAAACAAAATCAATTTTTATTTTATAGCACTTACCACATCAGGTTCTTTATTACCATCGACTATAAGATTATATTCTTTTTGAGCTAATGACCGATATGTCACGATTTCTTCATTCAATTGTTTTGTTGCAGTTGGTCTGATGCTGGATGAGAAAGGAGAATTCATTTTACCAAGTGAACTTAGGAATTTGGACATAGATGATGTTGGTAATTGTTTAGATTTTTGTTTTTTATTTGATGTTGCTTCTGTTTGATAAATTTATTCTTCGTCAATTTCTTGACAAGCATGTGGTTGCTGCATATCTATAATATTAACTTCAACTGCTCGTCTTTCTCGCCTTGATAAACACCCATAACCAAGAGGATCAAGGTAAGCATAATTCTTAATATATAAAAGATTTTTAATTAAAAATATTTGAAAAATTCTTACTTTCATAATATCCCATGGCTCATCTTTTCCAATGAAATATTTGTCGATCTGTTGTAATAATAACGGTTTTAAACGGATAAACAAATTCATGTCATAGCCATCAAGACCAATTGTAGGATATTGACTACCGCTGATAAGATTGGTTGCTTGTGCAAAAGGCTTCAATATACTATCCATCATTTCAAGCATCTTCCAATCAAATTAGTCTAATTCAATTGAAGAAATTTTACTTGTTTACTTTTTATTCGAGTCAATATCATATTTTTCACTATTTATTTTATTGATGATTTTTCTATAAATCAACATAACTTCAACTAAATGATGCATTGAACTCCATCTACTTTTGCAATCCAGTTGAAGTGAAAGACAAACGTTAAACTGTTTCTTGAGACTAAGTACATAATTCATGAGAATGGAGGACTTGTGAGTTTCACTATTGATCTACTTTTTTTCATCAAAACACCTATATCTTGTTGAACTATTTCATCTGTACGAGCATCAAGTTCTTCGATAACATCAATCGACCAATTGTCCGTAATATCAATTGATAAATTATCTGGTTCATCATTGACAAATATTTCATTTACAGTAACATTTGGATGAACATTTTTATTTAACAAGTTATCTGATGTTTGAGATGATTCATCAAGTGACGATGAACCTGGATTAAGTTGTATCTTATCTGTATAATCTTCTTTGTCGGAATCAATATTATTTAAATCACCATTTGATATTGCATCAATATTTGATGTTGTAGGAGTATCGGATGATGATGATGTTGGATTTTTACGAATCCATATACCAAGACCACTGCACACCACTAAGTGCAGTCTATGTGCTACACCTAAAAAAGAGTAGAATAAAACAATAAGTTAACAAGTGATTACTAACACCGAATTTGTTTTGAACCATCACAAAATGTTGTACCTATTTTCAACACATTAGCAGCACCATCCGTTGTAATTGAACGAGTTTTGTCAAATATATTTAACTCCTTGAGTTCCTTCTTGATAATCATGGAGATGTTTGTAGACGTATGTCGATGGTGAAACCAAGAGAAACAAAGAATTCTGGAAATAAATTTACTTTTTGATATTATAAAATGATCAGTTAAACATATGTAAGAATAAAGTCGCTTATCATTCCAAAAGTAATTTTTTAATAAGAAGTGATTTATGATCAGATTGTAAATGTTTTAATCGGCGTTGAACCGTATTACGGTGAGGAGGAAAGTATGGTAAATAGAAATTTAGATAAATATCATAAAGTATCTCATATTTTTCTTACCAGGTGCTAAATGTTTGAACACTTTTAGCATTTCTGGTCGCCTCATATCATCAAAACCACGACCGTCCTGAACAATGCGGTTTATAGTTAAAGAGTCAATTTTCTTTTTTTCTTCAGTTGAGATTTGGTACGATTTCGATGGTGGATTTTCAGAAGTAACACAAAATGATTCCATTTTGTGAGCTTGAAATAGATATTTACGTAAACCACTTGTTGCACCACTTTGCCGACTTTGTAACTTGTTGCATATTTTGCATTGTGGATTTCCATTTTCTTGCTTCGTCATATGTTCCCATAAATTTGACACACGTTTACCATTAGAACGTATTTCATCTGTATCATTAATGTCCATTTTATTTGTACTATTTCGATGATTCGTATGAATATTTTGAAAAATTTCGACCGTAAATTCTTGAGTATTTCTTTTTAAACGGCGAACAAAGTAATTTCTTGATTTTCTAATGCGAGCGTTGTAAATAGAAAATAAGAAATATTTTCGGCTAGAACAATCCCTAAAAGACGTTAAAACAGACGATAAAGCTTGCAAACTGTAAAATTCTTAGAAAATTTTAAAGTACTTTTTTCTAAAAAAAGATTTCATGATACACAAGTGACATCGCCATATAAAATTGTTTATCAATGAAAAAGAAATGTAAATCAAGTTAACTACCTCAAAGCAGATTAAGGAAAATGATAGTTCATATATGTCGACGTTCTGAAATAGATTTAAGATGTTGAGAATTAACTGAATAAGATTTTGCTGTCTACCTGTCGTATAAGTGTTTTATTGATGACTTTTGAGTATTATTATTTATGACAAATATTGAACTGTGAGATTTTTCTGAACATTATCAACAACAATGTGTATCTCACATATGCTAGTATCTATTTTAAGGTCTACATCTACATTTCTCAGTACGCATTTAGTTGAAATTGTTTGCAGTTTATGAGTTTACACATGTTGCAATCAAGTTGAAAAGAAAATTGCTAGTTCAGACCAACCGATTATTTGCTGTTTTTTGTCCTTTCTTAGATGATACTAGTTTTCTTTTCTATGGGCTTCAACAGCTTTAATAATACAGAAATATTTTCTGAAAATCTTAAACGAACATATTTCTACTTGTCTTCGAAACTTGAACTATGAATCTTCAGTTTTTCTATCGACAGTCATAATCGGATTTGAGCTAGAAAACCTTTGAATAAAGTTAAGTAAAGATTATATATATGAAAATATCGAACTTGTCCATTCTTGTGACGATAATATCTTTATGACAAGATCAAGTAGAATAAACTATATATGTTGTTCAATATCTGTTTTTACGTATTACTAGGTGGAAAGTTCTCAAAAAGTTCTTCCTTCTTTTGTAATGACAACATACATTACATATGAACACTGAATAGAGAATTTTCTTATCCAAAACTTCAAGAGCGGCATAAGTTTAACATGAATTATCTTCATGAAATTGTAGTAACAAACTTTTCTTGAAAGAACTATTTTTTTAATTAGTATATTAAACGAACTAATCTTTCACCTGTTGTATTCTACAATTGAACCAGTTGATAATAACCAATTGTGAAGAGTTCTACCGTATTTAAAAATGGTCTGTATATTTTGAATATTTCAAAGATAGGGAAATCAGGCTAGATACTTAGCAATATTTGTTATATATATGCTGCGTTTGGAATTAATTATACATATGAATAGATATTGTGATTGGAATAGAAGTGGAGTGATTTATGTTTGTTAGCTTTATATATTCCTAACAAAAGCACATTCCGAGCGGTGGGGATGATTCCGAGAATCTGTCTAGAATAGTATTTAGGGAATTTCTTTAAAAATATATATGAAGAAAACTGATTCATATCAAGAATCATACCATTATCATTTTTCAGAAAAAATTTATTTCATATTTTGCAATTGTGTTCTAGTAACTAGATTGAAAAAATTATTATTTTTTTAATGCTATGCCAAAATGTTATTTAAACGCAACAACATTGTTAAAGTTTATGGAGGCATCATGAGAATTCCTTATTGTCAAATTGTTTTTATTTTCTAAATATTTCAAAACCATAACTAATGCCATCAAAACCAAAATTTCAAAACTAGTTTTGGTTTTGGTGCATGGCTATTTTTGACAACTTTTTTTTCGGGATTCTTTTGGGTTTCCGTACATATCTCGAAAACCCGTCGAGGTTTCCAAATTACTAGATACCTATGATTTTCAGAGAAAATGTCTTGGAAATCCATTAAACATAGTGAAAAACCAAANCCATTAGTTACGCAAGGCAAAACGTTTTTTGTGAAAAGACACAGGTATGAACCTTTCATCGTAGAATAAAAAAACCTTACCATAAAAATTACAACCATAAACCCATAACCGTAGAATAAGAAATCCTTTTTATGAAGGGTATATTGATGAACCTTTCTTTTTCTCCGCATAAACTCTTTTTTCATTTAAAATACCCTTTTTATCAAATACCCTTTTTCTCAAAAACCCTTAAAGGGTTTATGCAGTTCTCCTAAACCCTTTAAGGGTTTAGGAAAATGTTCTTTGTTATTATTGTCGTCTCCGTCAATAGCCTCTGCATCATCATATACATCATCGTCTATTACATCTATATCGGAAAATAATATAACAGTTTTGATTTTGATCTAGTTATGATACTGCGATTTGGATGTGGGTGTGGGCATGATTCTTCTGCTCATATACACCCACACCAACACCCTTTATTTGTGTAAAATTTAATCGATGTAAAGCTGCCACAAACACCAATAGCATAAGACTTACCTTCAACTAATAAGCACTCGATCATGAAATACCCTTTCTTATCCAACAACAACAAATACTAGCATTGCTTCCCTAGTTACCACGACAAAATACATTCAAAAGCTAAATAAAATGCTTCTCGTCTCCCAGAACCAAGGGCGTCTACCACCCCTATCTAAATAGCCTAGACAAAAGCTAAATCAACACAGTCACATCCTTGAGTAAGAACCATTTCAGTTATCCACCCAGACCTTTTCACGAATAAAGCATTACTCCGATTAGGGGTTCAGTTGTTCTCCCTTCTTGTTTATTGGAAATCGAAAACTAACGACAAAACAAACAACATGTTGTATACACATATATATATATCTCCTCCGTTGAGAAGACAACGTATATATTTATACATTTATATATATATGACGATAGATGTGGCGGGTGACTACCCATGGAACTTTTTTTCGAGTCGTAACGCGTCTCTGAGCGTTCGTGAGCGATGGCACTTCACGCATCAGGACGCATCCAGAATGCAACATTTTCGGGGGTGCAGACGCATCCAGGGTAACCTAACGCGTCTACACTCGTTCAGTATCTAAACGTATCATAACTCGTTTGCATTTGAAGGCGCGTTAGGACCCATCCAAAATGCAACATTTTCAAGCGTGGGAACGCATCCAAAAGTAAACGCGCCTAAACTCGTCCGGATGCCAGATGCATTAGAATGCGTTTACTTTTTTACCCCAAAAAAATTAAAAATTATCATCACTCTGTGTCGGAATTGAGCCGATGCATCATATTAAGCTATGATATAACACCCACATACCATGAACAACAGAGTGGTAATTTTTCCAACGATAGCGTGAACCAAGATTTGAACACATGAACCGTTGATTACAAGCCGAACATAACTTGCGCTGAGCCATATATTGTTGGATATTGTTATTATCTTCATGAATCACATGAATTAATCGTTTTACAGTGCTTTTGACTTATCTTGCTTTTTAAAAATATAGTTAGGATATTTATTTTAATGAAATCAACATAAGTCATTTTTTTTATCAATGAAACAACAGTGAAAAAAACTCAAAATCTTGATTACTGAAAAAATTAAGAAAAACAGATATATCTATCTTTAAAGAGTATAAATGTATATATATGTAGTATAATAATATTAACTAACATTTTTTTTCTATTAGCATAAGGACATTATAACAAGTATTTTTTTTATAGAAAATGAGAACTATATATCACAACACATAAAATAAAAAATCTTGTCTGTGTATTTTTTCGTAACCGTTATACTGTAATCTTTCAAGTCATCCATCCGAAATAGAATGAATGATCTTATAGCAAGAATTTTTTAACCATACTTAATTTGTTTTTTTAGAACAGAATATTGATTGATATTTGAATTAAAATATTAAAAAATTACTTGTTTTGAATTTTTTAAATAGTTAAGATGCGGTGTTTTTCGTTTTTCTTAACTTCATAAAATAAGTTTTACTTCGATGTATTGTTAATTATAAGGAACAATAAAGATGATTATACTAAACTCTGCATCAAAGAACATTTTTGTGCAGTTTTTATTTAAAAAGCGATTGAAAGTAAAAACAGAATATACATCTAATTTACTTAGTTATTTACGACAGTGATGATGAAAATCCTAACAATAATGTCAAGATAATAATCTGTCGTGTGCGCAACAGAAAGTAATTCCGAGTTTAAGGAAACAGGCGCATACAGTTGTATTTATAGCCTAATATTTTCAATAAAAACTTTCAAATAGAAATTCATTATAACAGAAATACTCATTTGATAAAATCAATCTGTTAAACCAAACCTTATTTGATTTAATCCTCAATATATAAACGAAGGCCGAATTTTAGCGTTCAAAATAAAAAATATCATGGATATCATATACGTATTCAATAAAAATAAATAAGTTTCTTTCTTACCTAACTGAATCAATCAGAGACTTTTTTTACCGCTAATTAACAGTTACCAGAGACGAAATATAACACAAAGACTTTGCTCCTAGCGCAATGTAGCATTTTAACTAGAGCAAACTCCGTTGTACTCAAGCCTATTTTTGTATAAATGCAGATTTCGATAGTCATCATTCTTAGGCATGAACCAAAATCAAAACAAGTTTTGAAGTTTTGGTTTCTGTTTGGAAATATAATCTTTTTCGACGTATTTCAAAATGAAAACGAAAACGAAAACAAAAACCTCAAAACCAAAAATATTAGATTTGCTGCATGTCTGACCACTCTTCATTAACACTACGTACTATATAACTATGAATTCAGTTGTGTTTTGGAAATCAGTGTAATGAAGCGCGTTTTCGGCATTTCATGAACTCACTCATATCTCCATGAAACGCGTTTTATCACCTTCGACGATTTTACAGCGTTTATTGGATAGCAAATAAAGTGCGTTTCAATTATGGTGCACGATCTAACGCAGGAAAAGACATAGATTGCGTTCATACGCGTTTTAAAATAAGAATTTAAATGCGTTCATATGCGTTTGCTCTGATTAACGCTAATAAACTCGTCGAAGTTCTTTAAACGCGTTTAAAAAGATAATTACAAACGCATTTATCTGCGTTTTTATCATAACTCGATGCCGGAACGCATCAGAACGCCACCATTTGCAACATAAACGCATCTAAGTGCGTCTAAAATGCGTTTCGTGATTACATGGGTAGATAGAAGAAGAAAAGAAATGACATAATAATATGTGAGGGTAAGCCCGTAACAACTCCCGTCAATCTGAAAAAATTATTCTCATACACAATCGAATTCTCTATCCATTAATCATATCATTTCAGGGTTGATATAATTCATTGCTGAGAAATCTTCTCTTCAATATCGCCAACTGCGAGCTCTATATGGCTCATGCTAAAGTATCTCTCTATTTTTCAACTTAGAATTAGGGTGTGGGTGTAGTTGAAGAGAATATCTACACCCACCTATTATTCCTTTTTCTTTTAATCTAATAAATTATTTTCATGTATTTGGACGCTAGCTGAATGTCATTTTCTCTCATTCAAGATACAGCATCTATCAAGAGCTAATTTCCAGTGACAGAAGAACAATATATGCTTTTTGTTCTAATTAAATGCCGGCAAAAGATAGACGTAATTCTTAGATTCATAATTCCTGACTTTTGTGATACGCAATACAATGTCAATATTTACATATACATAAACCCATGTCGACTGTCTCACGGGCAACATTTCGGACAGTTTTCTTATTTGTTTGTTATACAAATACAAATATTATTCTACCAATATTATCTGAGAGAATAATCGAAAGTAATGCGAGAAAAAAATAGCAACAATAAATGAGTCGAAATTAATCATTCTCTTATTCAGAAGCAAGTACGCCCAAAGGAATTAACACACATATCATGAGTTCAGCCCAAAAAGGTAATTTTTCTAGCGCTACTTATTCTTGCATATCATGGGTAATTATTGTTAATAGACACAAAGAAATTGCAATCAGCTACTCCCACCAATGTTCATATAACCGGTGGCGATACACCTGATAGTGATCCACGTAGCAAAGCCAATCAAGAAAATGAAGGTCGACTTTCAGGAAGTCAATTTACAATTACTGAAACTCCTGCTTTTTATATCAATCAAACATCCAGAACTAATAAATGAAAAATTGTGTCATCGAGTGACAAACAATTATTTTCTATACAAGCGAGCATTTTTACGTTTTTACCCGTGTGCATGTTCAAACATTTCAAATTTGAATTAAAATCCCATTTATTTATTGCTCTAATTTCATACTTATTTTTGGTGAATTAAAAACCTTGCTTATTTTATCTATTGACCAATAAATTATTATGAAAGTGGTGTGTTTAGGTTTATCTTATCTTAAATGGCGCTCACATCCTATACGCCAATCGATTTTGGTGACATTGAACTATTTTATTTATCTCCGTAAACTATAGATTTTCACCCACGCTTCATTTCAATGAAAGATAGACCTTTCTACAAAATCAAATAGCATTCAGAATAGTTGTCTAATATTATTGCAATAAATATGATCTTATTTGTTGACAAAAATATCAGTCTTGTTGTTAACTTCTATACATTTATGTCATAGACAACTTGAAACTCCAATCTTAGTTCACTTTCAAAATAGTACTCGTATTGTATGGTATGCTGAATACAACATACCTGACTGCGTGAACGGGAGAACGTTATTAAAGTAAACAAGTAATTGTATTTTAATTCTGCTTCGAAAAATTCTCGACAACGATAGAACAACAACTGTGGGGAGTGTCAGCGGACGTACAGTCGAACGGAAATAATTGTACAAACACTTATGTCCACCAGAGAACGTGCACCGAGGGGAATTGACCTGTAGTTGCAGCAAAAAAATTAAAATTTTACTGAAATTTTGTAGGTTTGCTGCTTTTTGTGCTTCAAAAACATCCGCTAAATATTTTCTTTTCAAATGACATTTGTGTTCATATAAATTAATGTAACACATGTGTTTGTAGCAAATCTTGTTGTGCTATGATGTATAAATTCACAATTATTTACTTCTACTTTATGGTCCATATATAATATCATCCAAATAAAGCTGTCTTGCAAACAACAGAAATTACGCGTAAAAAACAGAATGATAATAATTCATATTTCACATCATAGAAGAATTATAAAGATAATATAGATGACAATGTCTCATAGTAATCAACATCTCATATTTACTATAATGACAAAAAAACAATTCCAGCTTCTATTTCGTCATTGATTGTTAATCGAAATTCTAACATTGTGATTTATGTAGCTGCCAATGGTGATAAGATGAACACCAAAATAGCTGATCCCTTCTTATCGTAAAATCCTGTATACATCCCCGTTAGCTTCCTTCAAGAGTATTTCGTGTAGAAACAAGTTAAAAGAAAAAGAATATCTGTTCGTTACTCATGGAAAATTATTGCCAAAAAGAAACAAGTAAGAACGAGTGTTTTCGACCAATTGGAACGCATTTTATTGGCTCAGAACACGCTAGTAACGAACGGATTCAAATCGAAGAACAGTGTCCTTTGAAAGAACTCGTTACAACTCGTTCAAGAAAAGCTCGTTTTTGTAAGTGAAAAGTGATCACCATAGAAATGCATCAAAACGCTACAAGAAGGACGCGCTCGTGCAGCTTTACGACACGTTACTATCGTTTAGTCTGAACGCGTTCAGAATCGCTTAGAATTGATTCTTGAATATCAATCCAAACTGACACGTTAAAACACGACGCCAATGGGGATTTTTCCATATTTTGATACGAAAATATTTGTTCCCAGTTTGAGGGTGTTGGTGTGATTGGAGTTTGGTTATGGATCTTCTCTTAATTTACTCCCTGTCAAAGCCACCACACACTATAGGGGTGGCACTTAATATTAATAAAAAAAATGTTTGCATTAGCCACTTAATTGCTTAATATTAAGTGTTAAATATGAAGAATATTTCGTTTTATTTTGAGTATGTAGCTAGTAGGGTCATAAAAACTATTAATAGAATATTATTAGTATAAAAATGGTAAAATCCTTATCCGCTACGAAAAGTTGTTTTTTTTCGAAAAGAAGTATTATTTCTTAGATTTAAGCGGATACTATTTCGTGTGAGAGTAAATAAACTTGTTATCAGTGCGTTGAAATTTCGATGATACGCATAAATATATATATATAAAGTATGGAATATTTAGAATAATCCTAGTATCGCTTTTTTTTATAGCAAGTGGTTTAAGTAAACCAGCAATATGGTTTTGCAGCTGATAATTTTTATATGCTTTTAGACGAATTTTATTAGCCATTGCGCATTATGCTAGATTCGATACAGGACTTGATGAAGAAAGTCGATTCTGTATTGTATATAGTTGTATAGGATTCTTAAATGTACCACTAAAAACAATTTGACTTTTGAATATTGAAATGTGTAGTATAATTTCCGTCATAGTAGTTCAGAACAAATCTTACCCTGTGTTTTTTTATCTTTTCGAAATTTAATAACAGGCTCATAAGGGTACATCTTTAAGAAAAGTAATAATCAAGCTATTATTTGAACTAACAATTATATACATTTGGCAAAAAACAAAATCGTATATTTGTATATACGAGATCGATTTTTACACTGATTTTATTATTATTAGTTTTTTTTCCACAAGAGGTGCATATAAACTCGTCCGTTTTTATTGAATTGTTCTGACGTCACAGTAAAATTGTTGGTTAATTTTACGCTGTTGACATAATCAAGTCAGATAGATGTACACAAACTAATTTCTTTTTTAAAATAAACAGTTTTTGTGAAACACGCTCTGAAAGGAGTGTTGAAGTATATAGGGTAGAAATTTAGACCCATCCCCCGCCCCCCTCCCCACAGATCGTTACAGAGAAATGAATTAATCAACTAATTGGTTAATTAATTAATAATTATTAAAATTCTCTGTCACGGCCTGTGATGGTTTCTAGAGACTTCATACATCATAATACAGACCGTGACACAGAAGCTCCACAGACCATCAGTGACCGTGATAGACGAATTTCAGAAAAGAAGTTTCATCAGGTTTCACATTTTAATCCCACAGGGATTGCGCTAACAGCTTTTTTNCTGAAAACAATAACAAGATATTGTCCAAAGAAAAAATACGTGCTGTTTGTAATAATGAAAATCATCTTTTAGTTAAACTAACAGAAGATGTTGCATTATGCAATAGTACAAATTTTAAATTTAACATATCAATAGCAAGTCGATCAACAAAAGATCTCACACGTCAATCAGCTAAATTTATGTGGTACCAATATCTGGTGGAAATTCTTGTTGCTGTGCCCGAAATATCAAAAGCCAAAGATGATCTACTTGAATTTTGTCGTTCGAACTATGCTGAAAATCGAACTGAACTGGATAAAATACTCGAATTTGAAAAGACTTATAATTCAGAATTTGCTATTAAATGGTATACGCGTGATTCATTTTTATATCGTCTTATTAACAAAGTCTTACGGCAAGAAGATGTTGATGATATGTATAAAATTCGTCTTATTTTATCCGATATTCACACACAACTTGTTGAATTACATGGAGATTTTTTGAGCAGATTACTTGAATTGAATTTCTTTCCATATTGCCTTACTACTTATCGAGGTCAATTCATGTCTGCACGAGAATTAGATCAATTGAAAGGAAATATCGGTCGTTTTATTTCAACAAATAGTTTTCTTTCAACAACGTCTGATAGAGATCTTTCATTGATATTCAGCGGGCAAGGACAACAACGACCTCAATTAGAATCAACTTTGTTTGAAATAACGATTGAAACAAATGCATGTGAAACAGCATTTGCTGATATTGGACATATCAGTTGGATGCAAAGCGAAAACGAAATTTTGATAACACTTGGCGCTATTTTTCATATCGACTCAGTAAATGAAGATGATAATGTATGGATTATAAAATTGACCCTATGTAATCAGAAGAGTGAAGGCATCGAACAATTGACCGATTATTTTCCTGATATAAAAGATGATGCACCTGATTTATTTACATTTGTAAAGTTCTTGTCTAGTACAGGCGATTATGTAAGAGCAACAGAAGTTTGTCGTCGACTTATTTCTTCTACTTCACCTACTGATACACGAATGCCAATGCTTTGGAATCTTTTAGCTAAATGTCTCTGTTATCAAGGATATCAAAATTTACCAGAAATTATGAATTATTATAATCAAGGTTTAGAACTCATTCCAACCGAAGCATCTTCTTATCCAATGCATATAGACATGTTAATTCGAGTAGCGGATTCTCTTGTAAACAAGCTAAAGTACAAAGAAGTCATGCCAATAGTGAATCAAATAGAAACATTGATCAAGCAAGATATAGAAGAACGTGGATTTCAAAATGAACATATTATGCAGATAGGTCATGTTACTATGATTGCTGGAATGGTTTGTGATATAATCGGAGACTATTCAAATGCTTGTGAACATTTTCAGTTTGTTGAAAACCTTTATTTTAAGTATTTACCTGTTGAATATGAAAGATTAGGTGACATTCTTTTTCATAAGAGTCTTGCACAATCTGGTAGTAAAGGAGATACTATAGAATCATTGGAAGCAATGCAACAAGCATTGAAACTTCATATAGCTTCCTTGCCTCCAAACCATCCGGCAATTGCCGCTGATTATAACATAATTGCATGGATTTATTTGCGTCATTATGATATAGCAAATGCTCAAAAAGCTTTAGAAAAATCCATTGAAGTTCAATTAAATGCTGCCTTTCAAAGCCCGATTCATCTTGGTAATACATACATGGGTCTTGGAAGTTTATTACCTGGTGACGATGGAATGTCCTATTTAGATAAAGCGCATGAACTTTTTAAATTACATTTACTGCCGAATGATCGCCAATTTATTCAACTCTATATCTCTATGGCAGAGAATCGTATGGAAAAGAACGAGATAGAACAGGCACGAGTTTATTTAACTGGTTTATGAATATTGGCAAATTAATGTGGTGAAGAAAATGTAGTGGCTGTTACACGTTCATACATTTTCATGTCAGTCTCTCTGGAAACAAGCCTCTTTCAAGATGCATTCTCAATAAAATGATATCAGCTAGAAAAGAGCTTATTAGAATAATGTTAGGTTTTCCATCCTTGATCATATTATATAAAAATTTTGAGAAAATATTCATAGGGAAAATATAAAAATAGATGTCACTGCTAAGAAGTGCATCTGCTATTAATTGTACGAAAGAAACGATTTATGACTTCTCTGACAACATACCAGTTTATACATGTGCTGTATTTTGATTTTTTTCAATGAATATGTCTATTGATGCATTGATATTCATACGAAAAAAAATACTCCTTGAAGCATGAAATGTTACATGTTGTCAAGCAATATAAAATGATATGATCTCCTTTATAAATAAATAAAAACGTACGTAATGTGTTGTTTAAAACTGAAGACTCATATACTGCCTACTATAGAATTGTTGTTTTTTCCTGGACATAGTTACTAAAAATATAGAGAAAAATAGCAACATGGCACTTCGCGGCACTCAAAAAGACTATTCAAATATGTTCGATGAAAATATGCAAAATATCCGTATAATTTGGCTTGATAGGACTTTTTGTTATGTGGATGCCAGTCAGAGAACAAAATTACGTTTACATCATATAACTTCTCTCTTAAAGACATTTGCTGAAGTCAAAGAATGTTTCGATTATATTCGATATATGTTTGATGATGTTCAATATATATTTCTCATCATATCCGTCGATGCATTTGAAAATGTTGATAGTGTTATCGAAGAAGCCACTCAATTAATGCAAATTACATTTTTGTATTTAATAATATCTGAAAACAATAACAAGATATTGTCCAAAGAAAAAATACGTGCTGTTTGTAATAATGAAAATCATCTTTTAGTTAAACTAACAGAAGATGTTGCATTATGCAATAGTACAAATTTTAAATTTAACATATCAATAGCAAGTCGATCAACAAAAGATCTCACACGTCAATCAGCTAAATTTATGTGGTACCAATATCTGGTGGAAATTCTTGTTGCTGTGCCCGAAATATCAAAAGCCAAAGATGATCTACTTGAATTTTGTCGTTCGAACTATGCTGAAAATCGAACTGAACTGGATAAAATACTCGAATTTGAAAAGACTTATAATTCAGAATTTGCTATTAAATGGTATACGCGTGATTCATTTTTATATCGTCTTATTAACAAAGTCTTACGGCAAGAAGATGTTGATGATATGTATAAAATTCGTCTTATTTTATCCGATATTCACACACAACTTGTTGAATTACATGGAGATTTTTTGAGCAGATTACTTGAATTGAATTTCTTTCCATATTGCCTTACTACTTATCGAGGTCAATTCATGTCTGCACGAGAATTAGATCAATTGAAAGGAAATATCGGTCGTTTTATTTCAACAAATAGTTTTCTTTCAACAACGTCTGATAGAGATCTTTCATTGATATTCAGCGGGCAAGGACAACAACGACCTCAATTAGAATCAACTTTGTTTGAAATAACGATTGAAACAAATGCATGTGAAACAGCATTTGCTGATATTGGACATATCAGTTGGATGCAAAGCGAAAACGAAATTTTGATAACACTTGGCGCTATTTTTCATATCGACTCAGTAAATGAAGATGATAATGTATGGATTATAAAATTGACCCTATGTAATCAGAAGAGTGAAGGCATCGAACAATTGACCGATTATTTTCCTGATATAAAAGATGATGCACCTGATTTATTTACATTTGTAAAGTTCTTGTCTAGTACAGGCGATTATGTAAGAGCAACAGAAGTTTGTCGTCGACTTATTTCTTCTACTTCACCTACTGATACACGAATGCCAATGCTTTGGAATCTTTTAGCTAAATGTCTCTGTTATCAAGGATATCAAAATTTACCAGAAATTATGAATTATTATAATCAAGGTTTAGAACTCATTCCAACCGAAGCATCTTCTTATCCAATGCATATAGACATGTTAATTCGAGTAGCGGATTCTCTTGTAAACAAGCTAAAGTACAAAGAAGTCATGCCAATAGTGAATCAAATAGAAACATTGATCAAGCAAGATATAGAAGAACGTGGATTTCAAAATGAACATATTATGCAGATAGGTCATGTTACTATGATTGCTGGAATGGTTTGTGATATAATCGGAGACTATTCAAATGCTTGTGAACATTTTCAGTTTGTTGAAAACCTTTATTTTAAGTATTTACCTGTTGAATATGAAAGATTAGGTGACATTCTTTTTCATAAGAGTCTTGCACAATCTGGTAGTAAAGGAGATACTATAGAATCATTGGAAGCAATGCAACAAGCATTGAAACTTCATATAGCTTCCTTGCCTCCAAACCATCCGGCAATTGCCGCTGATTATAACATAATTGCATGGATTTATTTGCGTCATTATGATATAGCAAATGCTCAAAAAGCTTTAGAAAAATCCATTGAAGTTCAATTAAATGCTGCCTTTCAAAGCCCGATTCATCTTGGTAATACATACATGGGTCTTGGAAGTTTATTACCTGGTGACGATGGAATGTCCTATTTAGATAAAGCGCATGAACTTTTTAAATTACATTTACTGCCGAATGATCGCCAATTTATTCAACTCTATATCTCTATGGCAGAGAATCGTATGGAAAAGAACGAGATAGAACAGGCACGAGTTTATTTAACTGGTGCATTAAAAATTGAACTGCAACCAAATCAACCAAAGCAAGGCAAGGGTTTAGCTGCTATTTACGTACTCTTTGGAGTGAGTTACCTGTACGAAGAGAATTACAAAACAGCTATTGATTATTTACAAAAGTCGATAAATTTGATCAAAGGACTAGATCCTCATGCAAGAATGGACGTCCTACTAGCTTATAATTTCTTAAAACTTGCTAATGTATATCAACAACAAAATGACTTAGAATTGGCTCTCTCATACTATAAGCAATCATTAGATATTTATTATCAAGTACCATTGATTAGTAAATTAAGATTGGCACGTCTTCATAACCATATTGCTACTGTACTTGTATTGCAAGAATCATTCGAAGAAGCTTTCGCACATTTTCAGAAGACACTTGAGTATCAACTTCAATCTCTTTCCTTCGAATCTGAACAATTATTAAGCACATATACAAATCTTGGAATGGTTTCAAAATTTTTAAAAGATGATTTTCATTTTCTGGAATATTATCAAAAAGCATTAGATTTGATCTATCTGACAAACTCCGATGGAATATTGGAAGCATATTTTATTCATAATGAAATTGGAACGTTTTGGGAACTTAAAGGTGAATATACGTATGCACTTGAATCGTATGAATTAGCTCTGAAGGTAAATAGACAATTTTTCAGCGAAAATCACCCTTCGTTCATAACAAATTATAATACACTTGCTCTTATTTATTCTGAAATTGGTGAATATGAAAAAGCAATCGAATATTTTCAAAAAGCATTTGCTCTTGATGAACAGAAAGAATGCAGTGTGCCCATATTATTAAATATTGGAATGGTATATCTTGATATGGAACAATGTGAAAAAGCAGAAGTTTATTTTGAAGAAGTTCTTTATTTGACGGTCCAAAGCGCTTATGCTCAAGATGAAAATAAAACGAATCAACTTCTTTATATAACTGCCCTTGATTGTTTGGCACGAACTAAAGGACGACAAAAACACTATGAGGAAGCACAAAAACTGTGCAAAACCGCATTCATTTTAAGATCAGACGATTTGTTGGCTAAGGCTGTCTCATTCGTTACTTTTGGAAGTCTACTAAATGATCAAGGTGACTTTGATGGTGCTGTTGTCTTTTTTCATCGGGCAGAAATGACGCTAAAAACACTAGACGCTAATCATCCAGCTTTAGCGAAAATTTATGCATTTCGAACAGGATCGACATACTACAATAAAAAGGAATTTGCCAAAGCTCTGTCATACTATGAAATGGCTTTGGATCTAACGGTAGCAGTTGCTCCTGGTAATAAAAGACAAATTAAGCAGACAAAATATGGCATTGATAGAATTATGGATCATATTCTTGAAGCAAATCAATCGATTCAATTAACATATTACGAAAAGGTTAAAAAATTCTGTATTTGTGTTTTGAGGTTTTTCTTTCTAAAATAAAGATTTTAATAAATTAGCCGAAAACTTTCATGGGAGGCTTCAAATGGAATATTATTTGCTTTTTTAAAACAAGACATTAAGTTTTCTTTCAAAAAGAATGCCGTAATTTAATCTATTATCTTAGATTTAACATATCTCTTACAAAAAAGATTTGATCACATATCTGTTCAAATTTTATTTATTTTGTTCGCTACATTTGACAGTATGGATTGTCGATACAAATAGTTACAGTCACATCTTAACAGCCCAACGCATTGTTTTATTTCAAAATTAAATAAGTTAATACGTATCATATCAATATAAAAGATTATTCTTGAGAAATACATATTTTATGAAACAAACTAACCATGTTTAAAGGACTTTGCCCAGTAAACAAATATTTTTGCAGTAGTTGGCTTTAAAAAGAATCTAATATGGTCGGTATTTCATACCTTACCATTTCGAAACAATCGATCGCCCAAAAAAGCGAAGCATACGATTTTGTAGAACGCACTTCGTTCTATGTTCTCCACTATGTCGCTTCTCAGGGAAATCCCAAAAGTTTCAGTCCTTTTATTCAAAACACAGGAGGGGCTTATAATGACAGCAAATTAATTAATCATTTTTTGAAACAAAGATGAACTTTTTTTGCCAAGAAAAAGAGTAAATAATGAAGCATTCAATATATTTTTATCCTGTTAGTTAATAGTGCATGCTGCCGATGATGATTCCTAGGATGGTTTGAGTTCACATTTAAGTTTTGTATGTTTGATCCTTGCTGGGGCCGTCTAAGAAACGAAGAATATATTTAAGTCTAATAAACTATATTGGTACACAAGTTTACCGAATGTTTACTGTCACTTTTTTGAAAAATCCATTCAATTTTGAATTGATATTTTTCTTCTTCGCCATTAGATTCTTCTTGTTCATCTTCACTATCGCCATGCAGTTTATTACGAACGAAATTTACTAAAAACGGATGCGAATCTAGATATCTTTTAGCATACTTTTATGTCAATCTACAACACTCGACTACTAAATCGCAGATGTATGATACGACTCAAAATCTAACTATATGAGCACATTTGTTCCTAATTAAAGGACTGTTGTAATATAGAGGGTTCTTCAATAATGGAAGAAGAGGATATTTTACAGTTTCTATTAGTGCTTGGAATATTGCTAATTTATATATACGACATACTTATTTCAGACAATCATCCTGGCGGAAATCATGTTCCAACGCTTATATATCATATTTTGGAAATGATGCCGCAGGCTAACATGTTGAACGACACTTCGGGAGTTTTCATGTGTTAATTAAATTTAAAATGTTCAATCTTCAGCATCTCAATATTAAAAAACAAAATCTCTAACCTTCTAATATTTCATGCGACGCTAAAACCCCCTTGTGCGGCCGAGCTGTATATTTATTTGGTTCGTATGAAACAATACTGAAGTTCACTGTTGAACCCGTGATATTTTTTAACACTTTTGTTACTGTTTCTGCATCGGCAGTTGAACCTGAAGAATATAATATTTTTTTTTTGATTTCTGAATTTTTCGTTGAAAACATACCTTGGAAAAAGATTTTTGCATTGGTAGTCTCTGGTGACAGTTCACTTGACGTTTCCTCTAAAATCAAATGTTAAAGCATCCGTGCCTGAAGACAAGTAATTAGTATTTTTGGTTCTTCATGATAACACAACAGCTACTTATCTACTATTTAATATAAGTATATAACTCTAAACTCATGTAGTCGCGAAAGGTTGGTAACAGAAAAGGTTTAAGAGATATATTTTTTATTAGATACTGTTTATTAGCTATCTTTCTGAAAATAACTACCCAGATTGGTATATGCGTCTTCATAAACGGCTGCATCTTTTCATTCGCAGTGGTATCCGATGTTCTAGATCGCATATATATATATATATATATAGTCAAAAATATAGCCTAAATTACCACAAGAGACACTGTAATGAGCGCAAATACGACTCTTTTGATATTTGATATTACAGCAACGTGATTCAAGCATGTAAACATATGCTCAAAATAGTCATAATAATGACCCTTTCAGTCAGAGATGTAGCTCGAATGATCCTGTGCTAGGTCGCAAGAGCATTACATATATGATCGTGTTGATAATGATTATGGTCATATGTAATAAGACTGTGACCTATTGTGCTACGTTTATAGGCATTTTTGGCAATGTTGAATAACGTGTAGCACACACACACACCCACACCCTAAGCAGGAAACTGACTTACCTTCTGACAATGCATCCTTTCGACCCGTTAGCATCGATAGTAGTGGTGATGCTTCCATATCCCTAAACTAAAAACANATTATGGTCATATGTAATAAGACTGTGACCTATTGTGCTACGTTTATAGGCATTTTTGGCAATGTTGAATAACGTGTAGCACACACACACACCCACACCAGGAAACTGACTTACCTTCTGACAATGCATCCTTTCGACCCGTTAGCATCGATAGTAGTGGTGATGCTTCCATATCCCTAAACTAAAAACACAAATAAAACTGATGATTGGGTCATAATTGGTCATGATATTTTTGCTTAACAATTTTCTAATGTATGCAAGCGAAGAGTAAAATATTTTATGATTACTGTCTCACTGAAGTCGTTTGCATCAGTTGATATCAGTAAACTTTGAGAAATAACTTAACTTACTTTCAGTGATGCCGATCCTGATTTCAACAATTGTAGACATCGTGAGCCTTAAGAAAAAAAAACACGAATATTAACATGGATAGGGCAAGGATGTGAGAGTACACATGCACAGCTCCTGCCAACAATTGAAAATGTTCTATTTTTATTAACTACAAGGGTCGATTTTGAGTGAATTTTTGGGCTTTTTGGAAAATTTTATAGCAAATATCTCCTTGACATTCCACAGTTATGAATCCTGGGTGTGGTCTCATGGTGACTGTGCATAAAGGGAATATTCTAACATCCACGCTGTCTTTCGGATTCTTATATTGCATATCACACTTACTTTCTTCATACATCTCTTCATTTACTGGGTTGGCGACCACCTTTTCTAAACATCTTATAGCCAAGGGAATTTCCAATCGACTCGCATATATCCCAGCCAATTTACGGTAAATGATTATAATTTTTGGATCTGTAGCGGGTATCAACATTTTATAAATATGAAGTGACTTTTGAAAGAGTGGGCATGCTGCTTCAAAATTAGATTGAGCCATGCAATAATCAGCATATTTAAATTGAGCTTCAGCTAACTCCAGAAAGTAGATTTTTTCAGATTTATCGATACTTTTAGAGTCTGGTGCCATGACAGCAGAAGCACCATTGAGATAGCTTTTAGCAAGGTTATCATTTTTTGCCTTTTGATAAACTGACCCTATACGAAGATAAATGGTTGCCAGTTTTACGGGAGATAATGCTGTAGGATATTTTTGGCAATAAAATATGGTCCTTTCATGTAACCGTGACACATATTCAGGTTCGAAGGTCTTTGAATAAATCAGAAGTAAATCAGCAAGAATGAAATTAAGAGTTTGTTGCCTAATTTCTGAAGAAAGTTCCTTCGCAATTTTTCGTATTGGATGCTTTGGTATTGCAGACTCTAACGCAAAATGAAAATGATTTGCGGCTAGTGATGTATTTGCCATATTTGTATATAGATATCCAATGAAGAAATGGGTGCGTGCAATATCAAAACTTAGCGAAGACATTTCTTGGGTAAAAGTAGAAAGTGCTTTTTGAAAACCTTCTAATGCATCGCTGTCGAATGCGTTAATCAGTTCCTTAATGCTATTTCTAAAAATTGAATAAGCTACAGTCCGCTCGACATTGTACAGATTATGTTTTGAGTTTAATAAATTTGGTGGAAGTGAATTACGCGCTTTGAATAAATTATCCTTGGCTAAATCGAATTGATGTTTTCGGACATGAATCTTTGTAATGGTAGAATAAGCATTAGAAATAGTCTGGTGCACTGGCGGTTGTATGTATCTAATATATATATTTACTGCTTTCGTGTGTGCTACTAGAGCTGCATCAAGTTCATTGAGTTTCATTTTCTGGTTGCCTTCATCGCGATAAATATCACCTAAAAGTAGCTGATATTTTGAAAAGCGTGGGAAATCTGATGACAGAATTTCTATTGCACCATTAATACTGGATAATGCTGAAACTAGATCTTGCTTCTTGAAATATGCGTATGCCTTTTTGTAATGTAATTCAGCTAGAAAAAGAGTTCCTGATGGTATAATCTGCTGCCAATATAGCAAAGTTTTATTGATCAGTTCTAAGGCCGAGTCATAGTCGTTTTTTTTCAACAGTGCTTCTGATTCTTCCGTAAATCGCCGAAATTCAAGAACAGCACGTTCGAGCGGTGTAGCCATTTCTTTAAAACGAGTTTCAAGTATCTTCATATCTTGATTAGTAGCTGAACCGTCTTTCATTGATGCAGCCAATGACATTAACTCAATATCTCCGAAATTCTGTGCAATCATACCAGACAAATTATCGAAAAGTTCGTCCAGGTAAAAATTCTTTTTATCAGCATCTTTTTTGGCATCATATAACTGGGATAAAGTAAAACATGTCAAAAGATATTTAGGGTGACATGGAGAGAGTGATTTGCGTAAAATCTCCCATGATTTTGTAAAACTGTCAAGCGCATCTCTAGATAAGCCTGACGTTAACTGTGCTGCTCCTAAATAACTATATGTTATCCCGATATCTGGATGAGTATTGGGTAAGTATTTGAGTTGAATTTCGAGTCCTCTTTTCAGTTCAGTCAACATTTTAGATTGCTCACCACAAATAGTAGATATATTACCTAATTGAATATACACAGCAGCTAATTGTAAGTCATATGAAGGTGTATTTTTCGAAAACATCTCTGCTGCTTTTTCTAAATTCAATCGTGCCGATATAACATCACATTGAAGAAGTTGTATTCGTCCCATATTCAGATAAAGTGAACCATAACATGGATGTGACATAGGATAAGACATTTGAAAAATCTTCTCTGCTTTTTCTGAGTACTCTAGTGCTTTCTCAATATTGCTTTGATTTAATCCGATAGTACTCATTTGAATATATGTGTTCCCAATCGAGGGATGATTTTCAGGTAATTGTTCAAGTAACAGTTTGAAATATCTCTCCGCTTTGAGAAGTTCACCCATATCGATAAGAATTGAACCGAGCGTTTCTAAATTCGTCGATTGACCAAGGGACTTTTTCATGTATGTTAGTAGCTCTACATCCTCCTTGTTTGACCATACTAAATTCACGTTCCAAATTCCTTGTTTATCTTGTTCAACTTTTTCAATAGAGAATGTTGAACCCATAGCTATTAAAACTTCATTTTCCTCCTTATGGCAACTTTTACTCTTAATATTAGCAAACGGTTTTGTTGCTAATGTAGAATCAATTTCAATTTCAAACAAGACAACAGCTAAATAGGGGTGTAGTGCTATGCTGGACGAAGTCTAATGCTGTCTGTTTCGAAGTACTAGTAGATAAAAATGTATTCATCGAAATATGACCGTGAGTGTTTTCCTTAAGTTTAGTTAATTCTTTCATGGTCATGTACTGGCCACGATAAACATATACGGTCGGCGGTACTGATTTAATATAAATTGTATGCATTTTTGATAATTCTTCATAGAGATCTTTTATAAAAAAACGAAACTTGAAAATAACATCGATGTTATCTGTTCGTAGAGCTTTGTTTACAATTTTATATAGGAAACATTCGCGTGTATACCACGCAATAGCATTTTCTGCGTAATATTCTTTATCAAATTCTTGAATAATATCGATTTCTCGTTTATTATCATAATATTGTTGTCTGCACTCCTTTAGCATATCACTTTTGGCTTTTTTCGAATTGGGAAATCGAAGTAGAGCTTCAATAAGTACTTGCGACCATAAATATTTTACACTTTGCTGATTTAAATCAGTTACTTGATTTTCCTTTGAGTCCGGACTCAGAATAGCTATTGATAATAAACTAGCATCAGATAATCGAACATCTTCTGTCAATTGTTTGTAAAGTTTTTTTTTGTTGGTAAAAATATCTTGCACTATGCGATGTTTTGATGCCCATTTTTGGTGTTTTTCAGCATTTTGGCAAAAGACATAAACGACACGAATTTGTGGAAGATTTTCAATGTCTGGTACAACTTTTTCACCATATGTACCAGATACAATAAGAAACACTTTTTCTTCTTTCACAGCTTTAATATAATCAATACATTTGGCAGAATCATTAAATGTTTTTAGATAATTAATGATACTTTGCAGATGTTTTTTGGTATCAATACAATCTACTGAAGTGTCGATTCTGGCATCAAGCCATATAACAGTGAATTCTTCAAGATTTTCATTTAATTCCGTGCCTACCGGCTCTACCGTCGGTCTTTGTCTAGGCAAACTACTCATGCTTTGTGCACGGCAGATACTACTTTTGTATTAACCGAGAAAAGCGTATTTATGCGCACGATTTGTCCACGATTGAATCTCCTATTGGACAACAAGCTAAAGTAAACACAAGGTGTCTGCAACAAGGGTGAAAAACAAATTCTGATGGATTCTATGGTTTCACCCGAGTCCAATATAATTTAACAAATTCCTAAAAAACTACGAGGATTCATCAGAATCCAATACTATTTATTAAGGTTCGGGGATCTAAAAGCTGTTCTTTCTCCCTTGAATGACAATGCAGATCATTGTCAACTCTGATATAAATGTTAGAGTGGATGTGAATCAAAATCATACAAAGGAGTGGTCAACCATAGGATCAAATGAAGAGGATGAATATAGGTAGCTTTTAGATTACGAAGAGAAATAGACTACAAAAAAGGATAACAAAAACTTCATCAACAAACTACTCATCGCTTTGCAAGTGTCTGTATTTTGTGGCTACTGGCAAAAGACTCATTGGTGAAGCTACGAAATCTCATAGCAAACCCTTATCCTACAGGTATCTATAGTGTAAACGTGAGTCCAACTTCTCTTCTTATTCGCTGTCAAGCCTTTTTTCAATATTTTTATGTATCTCCTCTATTTTCATCGCTTGATATCCTTTTGGCTATGTTTTCTATATGCATGATTCACACGTGTGATAACCACCACATTTTTCAGGATGTACAACAAAATGCCTGATAACAGACTGAAAGAATGTTTTTTATGCGTATGTTCAGAAACATCAAATTTCACATTTTAATTACATCCGAACGACACTAACAGCTTTTCCTTCGACCTTATCAATATATGCAAATCAAGAGTTAAGCGTCGATTCCGAAAAAGAAACTTGGAAAATTGCTAGAACATGGAAGCAGTATTGTAGTCGAAAGTTCTTAGGATATTTTGCAATTTCATTCGTGAGGCTTCGAATCTTCGTTCTCCGATGTACACATCGGCCTCAGTTTTCAACCTTATGTTGCTTTATGGATGGTTTTGACAGAAATACATGTATCTTTTCGAAAGTCTCTCACAAACTCTTGAAACATTGTAATTTATTGGCGACAGAAAATATTGAAACGCTCTATAGAGTCAGCTGAGTTCATAGAAATTATGTCGAGACTCTAGTACAGCTCTTAGAAATGTCTTAAACGTTGCGAATATTTTCAAATTCTTTAGATTAATATATTTTCTGCGATAGATCTATTCTAGCAAACTTGTGCAGTTTAAAAAGATTGCATTGAATAAATAGAACAACACTAGATGTTGATTAATATAAAGAAGTTTGACCAAGAAAGATTCTTTGCACGCTTATCCGAAACTTTCGGGACTATTTTAGAAATAAAAATCATAGTATCGCTTTATATATAATTACGTACTTTGATTCGATCTGTTTTTACCGGTGCTGCTTCGTCATAAAATGAAAACTCGATGAAACATGCACGTTTTTCAGCATCGAAGGAATCAACTCATTTTTTCTTCTGTTCTTATTTAATGTGCTCGAAGCATTCTTTCGCGAAAGTACGTACTTATGCAACTTTCCGCGATTTTAACTGTTTTTCAATGCAGCAACCAATAAGACAATATTTTTAAAAGACCCCGAATATGGATATGAGGGTGATGTGTCGAGCAAATCATGATGCATTTCGACCTTGATCTTTTTCGTTGTGATCTGTTACATATTACACAGAACAATAATTAATTTTTATTCAATATATACTGATTAAAAATTAGTTTTTATTTGAAAAGCCTTAAATAATTTGACGACAAAAAAGTATAAACAGAAAAAAAGCATTGTGTTGAAATAAATATTGATAGAATATTTTTATTCAAGCGATACACGAATTTGTTTTCCAAATGATAAAAATATCTGTTCAAGTGGTGTTTGTGATGTTGTATGGGTGTGGGTCATCTACACCCATACCCACACCCTATGACAACGAGATCGAATATATGTCAAATGTGGACTGATACCATAAAATAGATCCGGGTGCAAAATCGACTAATTACATACCGAACAAAAATATTCATCCTTTGACTACATCTTGATTATATATTCTTTTCCGACATACTAGGAAGAATGCCCACACTATCACGATACCCCCTTTGAGTTTGAATTACGGTTTTTTGCTTTCACTCTCACTAACGAGATCGTCCATTGAGTTAGTATAGAATATTGAATCACCTTTCTTGTCCTCACTCTGAATAATCAGGTTGCTAAAAAAACAATTGAGAGATGAATAATTAGATATTATATATCGAAAGTAAAGCATGGATAAAAAACAAGAAATATCGAATCTTTTTTTTTTATTGTAATTGTTATATGTAATATAACATGCTTGCTGCCATGAACACAAGACTTATTACATGTTGTTTTTTATGCAAAAAGGCAAAAACAGAAGATCGTAAAGTTTTTGCCCAAACACACAAATTTGATATTTTTAAGTTAACTTGATATTAACAATGATGCGATTACACATAAATGAACTGATACGTAACAGAAAAATCACCAAGAAAAACTATTATGATGATGAACCTGTAGGAGAATCGCCAAAAACTATCATAATGCACGAACAGGAAAATCACAAAATCTTATTTAACTGTAGAAATTGAAAAAATCTTCATCATTGCTGATTTTAATTTTGATTAAGATGATCACGAAGATTGTTGCGCTCTAAATGTCGAGATAACACATAAAATAATAAGCAACGCACACATCATTAACGACTCACCTTCTCGAACTTGCGTATGTTCCCGATTAAGAAGAGTTCATCGACAAATTTTCTCGTAGAACAGGTTAATTTCCTACATTGTATGAGGTATACATTGAGCAAGACTTTCTTTAGTCCGATTGATTTCAGCATCTAAAAGATCAACTTGTTTAACCAAATTTTCCATATAAATTAAAAAGAACAAGAATATGAATTAAATTTATAACCCACAAAGAAAATTCAACGAAACCTTAACAAGTTTTTGTTTAAGAAAATGGATAGCTCCTACACTTTATAAACTATATTATTACATACCTGATCAATAGCCATAATAAGAGATTCTCCCAACTTTGGTAGAAACAAAAATGTCGAAACATTCCATAGTTGAAGAGTGAATCTAATGGAATGTATGATATCCATCTATTTTTCATGAAGATGTCATTGTAAGTCACTTAAAAACGAATCGACACATTGTATAAACAAATATAGTGACTATTTAATTAATGCGTCTGATCTTCTTCATGGTCTCTCTTTCATCGTGGCTAAAGAAAACGGTTTACGAAAGAGAAATTATATTAATATTGGTAAATTAACTTATCGAACACTTTATTTTTCCCGATTATTCTTTTTGTATTGAATACACATAGCTTAAATACTTAGTTTTTTATATCCTCAAAAAAGGTCACAAACGATTTTTCTTTATTGTTCATTCGATATATTCACTTTTCGACATATTAGCTATCGACATTTTTACTTTCTACATTTTTATCTTCTACCAAAGTTGAGATTACCGTTTCCATCTGGAACTTCTTCTTTTTTTCGTTTACTACAACATTAGAAAGTTTAACAAAACAATTTAACAGTGTAGATCTTGATTTCAAACTCGATAATGTGAATTCTAAGTTATAAAACCAGCACTGACCTTTGTTTCATTGGCTGATTTTGATTTTTTTTTGTTATCCTTTTCGTTCAGTTTAAGTAAGACATCCATGTTGGTTAAGCTCTCGCCGTATGGTCTCTCCACGGCTCGCTTTCGCTTATTTGCTATTTGTTGCGATGATGTCATATGATTATTAATAGCTTTAGTCAGTGCGTTTAAAGTATTTGAAGTATTTGTTGATGAGTTATGAGAAGTAATATCGTTGACGGAATTCGTCGAAGTATCAATAATAGTAGAAGCAGAATTACTTGAGGCTGTCGTCAGACATGAACTAAAGTCTAATTAAAACAAATTAGAAGAAAACAAAACAGAAGTGAAATAAATTTGAATCCAATATTAACTTGTCATACGATGTAGTAATGCTTCATTTGTTTGTGGTATTGAATGTGAATTTTTTGAATTACTAGAATTTGATATAAAAAAAAGATTGAGGATGTACAACTCATGCAGAGTACTGCTTGTTGTCAGCAGTGACATCAAAACCTACCAGTTAAAAATTCAAGAGTAGTCATTGTTAAATCGAGAGCTAAAAATATATTCATAAGAATTTGAGTTATTTTTTATCATGTCACTCACAAAGAGTTGATAGATTGATACACGATGATGAGCGATTGATGGTACGACTTGTATTTGTACTTCGATTACGGTGAACCATATTGCCATTTGAGTCAGATCGAACTGTAGGTAAAGATACTTGATTGTCATGTACACCGATAGATGATGGAGGTGACAATAGTTTCTCTTTTGACACTGCTCTAGGATCAAATGGGTAGATGTCTGCTTTAGCGAAGCCTCCTTGACAATGAGATTTTAATAGATTATTTTGCCATAAGTCTTTAATCTATATTACAATAAATAGTGTTGAAAAACAAATTCCCAAAACTTACTAAATATGCAAATTTCACTTTGTCAATAGGAGCTGAATTTGTTTTAAAGTTATGTTGGTGTAACAATTTCCGCCAAGCGGTTTTCAATTTTGTTAGAGTAACAGCATCAAGTGGTTGTAAAATTGTTGTAGAATGAGTTGGCAAACATTCCAGTTGTACACCATTAGTCATTGCCAGTTTGATGAATTCGACGCTGGGCAAGAAATGATAAGACAGCCAATCGTAAAAGATAGGCTCTTCTGCCCAACCAGTAGAAGAGATATTGTACCTTGTGCCTGAGAAACCGTTCTTCGGGCACCAAGTGTCGTACAAATGAACTTCTTTGTGAATTATGTATGGAGGTAAACATCTACATCAACAGATGTAATAGATAAATGAAATTCAAATAATAGATCTTACTCTCCACTAGCAGACGTACACATAAGTACAGTAGCATGAGTTTTTCCAGTGCCACTATGAGATGATGTTGAATATTTTGTGGACCTTTTAACGATAACTTGTTTTCGACCTGGATCGTCGGTGAATCCTGACTCATCAACGTTCCAAATAGCGTCGGGTCGGTTGACGAGCTGATTTTTCTCCAAAACATGTTTTAAATGATCGGACCATTTCGCTAAAATAATGTTAATATGAAAGAAGAATTTTTCCATCAAAATAAGTCTCGTATTCAAGAGCATCTTAGTTAAAATATCCAGTATGCAAAAAGCTCAGCGAATATGAGCTACAGATTTTTTTAACCATTATTGATGGATATTATAATAATATAGATGAATTAAGATATGAGAGTCTCATGCAAACAGCTGCATATACTTTGAATCACAGTACACGTTGAGTTTTACTACCAGAAACTAAGCCCAAAACTCATTTAGCATACTTATCTATTCATAAAATACTCTAATTTTATCGGCATAATAATAAAAATGTTTATCTTGTTAAAAGAAAAAAGATCCGAAATACATAGTACACCTCTGCGGAGCAAAATAAAATTAATTAAGAATTAATTTTATATTACAATAATTTTAGACATATTCTTACTATATTGAGGCGTCGTGTCTGTAAAGAAAGCTTCTAAAAATGTAATATACTCACAAATAACTTGTGTTGTACAAGCTTCTGAACGTTTTTTTTCCAATTTAACATCTTTAGCTAGTTTTAGTTCATTGTTCCAACGATTCATGAACCCATAAAGCCATTCTTTTAAAGTTGCATCAATCGAGATTTTCCGACCAAGTTCTATCATATAATTCTTTGCAATGGCTTTAACAGATGATGGAGTCATAGGTTGTTGCCATTATTGAAAAGTATGGATAACATGAACTAGAAAAGTTTCTTCTTCTTTGGATAAAATAGTATGTAGTTCACGTCCAATATCGGTAAATCGGCCAGACAAACGACTATAAATAGTTGATGCTGGTATTCCAAAGTGCTTGGCAGCATCAATTGGTAAAATTTCGTCATGTTCGATTGCGTTCAAAGCCGTTATCAAATCTTCATTCGAATATTTCGGTTGAGTTTTTCTTATATATTTTCGTGGCATTGATTAGTGTTGTTAAATGCAGAACAAATTATATATACATATATTGTTTTATATGAGATGGAGATAGTATAGAATAATTTCTTGTTTATCTTCGTTGTTTACAATATTCAATATAGTTTTCAAAGGCACTAGTATCAGCCTCGGACAACTAATAGGTAAATTATCTAATTTGATTATGATTTCGTTATTCCAAGAAACATTCAGTATATATAGCTATACGGTTGAATCAGAATAAAATGTTCAACCTGACTATTGAATATGTTGACGAATTTATTCATGAAAATGAGATGTATGTGTGTGTTTGTGTAAAAGAGAAAGAGAGAATAACAAGCTGGTGATGCCATAGAGTGTGCTTCACACGTGATATTTTTTTCTGGGAAAGACGAATTAAATATAGCTAGATATTTAACGTAAAAATTGAAGAACTTGTGTATGATAATTATTCAAAATTTTTTAGCATTGTATTTTGATATTAGTTTCAATCAGTATTGAAAATTATTTATAAAATAATAGTACTTGAATGGCACTTTTCAAATAGTAGATAACAACATAGTTGGAAGTTGCCCAGCTAAAATCTCGAACATCGTTGTCAACTTGTTTTCATGCATCATTTTTCGATAATCAAAAAAATTCGATATTAATCTGTAAAAAAGGGTTCTTTTTGAATACAAGCAAAATCTCCAATGACAATTTATTTGTCAGAACGAAATGTTAAGATAATGTCAACAATTCAAATATATTATATGTCAAAATTAAATTCGAATTCTTGTTTAGAGTTCAAGATTGAGTTTGACTTTTCTTCGGCTTACCAATAAGTTTCAAATCAGAAATAATAAAGAAAGCAAATATTTGAAAATCATTTTCAACCAGTTTCGATTCGATCTTAAAATGAATCATTACAAATAATTTATTAGACACACTTTATCAAAGGTCGATATCAGAAGGTGCTCTATCAGCCACCACTACTATATATGGGTGAACCTTTTGTTGCTCTTCGCGTTCTCTGAGACTACCAGTCATTAGGTCGATTTCTCGGAGAGGCACAAAGCGTGTCTTCTTTACAAACTTGTAGATGCCAAACAGAATTAAGAAGACAGGTATTGAGATGTAAGCAGACAAGAAGCTATTGAAATTGAAAGGATGAGTGGTAAATGATGTGTATCCTTGTCCGAAGACGGCCACAAAGATAAGGATAGATGCGAAAATGGGTCCGAATGGATAGAAGAGTGCTTTATAAGGAAGATCTTCCAGTGCGTATCCTTGTGCAATATATGCCCGACGGAATCGCCAGTGTGACAGCGCAATACCGAACCAGGCAATGAAACCCATCACACCACTCAGGTTTACAAGCCACTGGTAGACTATCTGATTGCCAATGAAGGATAAACCGAAAAAGATAGTTGCAAGCACGGTCGTAAGTGCAAGACACCAAATAGGAATTCCGCCCTTAGTGAGGCGACAAAATATTTGGGGTGCTTTGCCTTCCATTGCCAGTGTCCAGAGAATACGCGTGCACAAGTATAGACCAGAGTTGCCAGCAGATAAGACAGTAGTTAGAATAACAGCGTTCATAATGTGCACAGCCGGAGTCCAACCAGCGCTCAGAAACACCAGTGTGAAGGGTGATACGGCAACACTCTGGACACCATGTATGTTGGAAAGACGTGGATCATCGTATCGAATGATGAGACCCATGACTATGATTGTACCGATAAAGAACAAAATAATTCGCCAAATGACCTGGTTCATGGCGCGGGGTACGTCTCGTTTTGGATTAGCGCTTTCACCTGCCGCAATGCCCACTGCTTCAGTACCCTAATATTCAAGAAAAATTCTTCGTTAACAATAGTTAACTCGAAAAAATACAAGTACTCAAAAGTAATTTTACGAACTAATGAATTCCCTTCTCAAGAAGATAACATGTTTTTTAAATATAAGCTAATCCAGAAACTTGAGTTTTCAACGCTTTATCGAATACCGTTCCATATTTTCCTGACATAGAGATTTTTCTAAGTAATACTTCTCTCTGTCATCGATATTTAATTAGACTGGATAAGAAACTTTCAAATAATCTCATTTCACTTTTATGATTTCCTCAACTTTCAATCGATTGATTATCAGTGTCAGCTTCGATTAAGAAGCTATACTTGCTTGAAAGGAGAAACCTGAAATGATAAAGGTGGTGACCACGCCGGCCGCTCCATTGAAGAATGGTGCCCCTGGTATCTTCCAGTTCTCGAAGCCATATGTGTGATGACCCATCCCACCACAGGCCACTACAATACCGATCACTATAAAGACGACCACGGCAAGCACTTTTGTGAGTGCAAACCAGTACTCAGCCTCACCATAGCCTTTCACTGAGAAAGCGTTTAGTGCAACCATTATTGCCATTCCTGCGAAGGACCACAGTACACTCGGCACATGTGGTAGCCAGAACTGGACGAGAATTCCCGCAGCTACCAGTTCACCTGCGATTGTAACCACCCACGAAAAGTAATAGTTGTACGATAATGCAAAGCCAAATGCTTCGTCTACGAATCGACTACCATAGGTATTGAACGAGCCACTGATCGGCAGGTGAGTTGCAAGTTCTCCTACAACAAATGTTAATACATTAGCGACAGAGCCTACAGCTTATGAATATCGTCACATATGACCAATACAACTAACAGCTTTTCTCTCTTCTATATTAATGCGCGTTCTGTGTATGAATGAAGAATTTACTAGAGAGTGCAAAATCTGTCTTATCTCCCTTGAATTTTCCTGGTTGATACTAGAGTTGAACGCTAGAAATAGTCGGTCAGAAATTCAAAAGAAGTAATGAAATTGCAAGTAGAAAAACATTTAATGCTAAACCCACCTAGACTTGTCATGACAAAATACACCATGATGGAAACGATCACATAAGATACAAGAACCCCAGCAGGGCCTGATGACGCCAGTGCTTGACCAGATGCGAGAAATAGTCCAGTTCCAATAGTGCCACCCAGTGCAATCATGGTCATGTGTCGTTCCTTCAGATTTCTATGAAGCTGACCTTCCACGTGAGGTGCTGGCAGAATGTCATTTTCGTCCTCTCTACTGTTACGTATACGCTGCCAAAGTGAATTGATCTTCATCGTGTGGATTTTGGTAATATAGAAAATAGGCAGCCTTCCCTGTAAAACAAAATACGAAATACAATGAGTCGTTACTTTATTTCTCTATCTCTATTGTCGTCTATCTGACAGAATTCTTGTTGTTACTTGTACCAATGTCCCATTCAAGCACACATTCACCTGTCAGATGTATATTGTTATCAAAGTCCAACTTCTTGCACTCGTTTTGTTTGTCTGTTTGTTCTCCATCAACACTAGTCGCTCGAAGCAAAAGCACGTTCTCGTGTATTTTTTCACCTTTGCATTGTTTAACGTAGATAATACATAAGCATGACGTGCAAATTAGAAAAAAAAATCGTCTTATCGTTGATGACAGGATAAAAAAATTGCATATTTTACATCAAACATTCAATAGATTAGAATAAACTAGGAAAATGCCTAAGAAATAAAAACTCAATGTGAATGAATGCTTATAATAGTGAAGATCACTCCAACAGCAACAAAAAATAACTTTGTTCCATACGATCATATGAAAGAATAGTCTTTTCAGAGAGAGTTGTTTTACTCTATGAAAAGTTGTTCCTATTATTTACTTTAATTATTAAGTTGGCAATCGTATTAGTAAAAAAAAGTGTATAGACTTAATTTATTTTTACATTTATACTAGAGTTAGACGATCTTCTAAAGATGAAAAAATGCAAAATCGTGAAGCACTTTGTCAGATCAATTGTATATTATCTAAATGATATCATGAAACATTTCTTATAATTATCTGCATGTCGCAAAATCGTTGAAGTAATTTTATAGCAACAAGATCGACTCGGCTTATTAGCTAAATAAAGACGAACCAATCATCGCATCTTTGGCATATATAATATTAAAAAGTCCAGTAACCTTCTTGTTGACTAATCTATAGTATGAAGAGTGAAAACAGTGTTTTATTCAGCTGACGTGAACAATCCTATTCAACATCTGTTTTTTCACATGTAACTTAATGATCTTGAGGGTGTAACAAATAATTAATAAATCAGCATGCAATGAGTTTCTCAAGAAAAAGAAAAACAACGAAATAGAATCAGCCATTGGTAAAATGACACGATAATAAAAGAAAACATCAAGCGCGCGAATGTTGCAGATGTATCTAGATTTTTCTGCTAAAAGATTCTACTCTCATAATCTCAATAGTTCAAAGCAGGTCAATTTTTTGAAAAATAAAAAAAAGGAAATCATTTGTGAGATCTACACGATGAATGACATGATTTCTATTCAAATATCTTCGACGCCAAATATTATTCGCGATTCAATCGGAATTGGTCTATGCGTTATATCGATTTGTAAAACATTAATCTTTATTTTACTTATTTTTTAATCCATCGTCAATTAAGAAAATCAAAAGAGAGAATACTTTTTCTTCTTAGTTTAAACATGTACAAGAGCATATTGATATTTTCTTTCTTTTTGCTTAATACGTTTATTTCAATGATTCAAGGCCATATGTATCCAAATCTATCGCCAATAAATAACGATACAACATGGTGTCGTTTAAGTTTATTTTTCAACAGTTGCTCTTACTTGTTCATTATATTCCAATACATGTCAAGCTCTTCGCTGTTTTTTCGAATAGTTTACTATCGGCAACCTTATTTCTCTCTTAATATTTATTTGTACATTTGTCTCGCATTGATCCAAATCCTTTTAGGTTTTCTTCAACCATTAGCCGTTCTTCTGAGCGGTGAATTTCAATATGATAATTATCATTGTCAAATACATTTAACAAGTTGACGTGGCATGAGTATGGGAGCCCTTCTTATTTGACTTCTTCCTGTATCATTGACAATAATCATCTACGGATATACATTTCGTTATATACGTCAGAATTCTGTAAAGTTTACCCGACGACAACAAACAAAAATCAATCGTGATTTTATCGTTATTAAACGAATTTCATTGCTTCTCATATTCGTTCTTGTACTTGGTATGCCTGCATGCAGTATGGCAATTATCTATTATATATTTAATTATTTAACTTGCTCAACAATTATCTTATCTTTTATTGCCATGAGTCCGGTGCAAACATATTATTCTCCTCATATTCGGGTATTATGGCACAAAAGACAAAATCAGGTTAGACCGACATGTATAATGGCAGTCACTAATTTTACCTAACTTCAATTTTCTACCGATTACAACGTTTGAATATTGCCACGTAATGTCAAAAATAAAAGCGATGAAATTTTTCTTTGTTCAATGATTTTCTTGTTATTTTTCTCAATTCAAACAAAAAAAGAACATTTCTATCGTTGTAAAGAATATGCTAAAACATTAACATTAAATTCACTCAAGTCAAATAAGTAAAGTTCTGCATCGATACCAAAAAGAAAGCCTTCATTTTTAGAACTAATATTGTGTGCCGGCGAATTGCTATCAACAACAACACATCCACGTGACAACAGAACAAGCAAAAAAAATAAGTGTGAAATAAGTTGGCAAAAATAACGTCATTTGAAAGAAAATATTAAAAAAGCCACCGCATACATATGTTGAACTTCGGTCTCTGTTTGATTGTTTTTTAATAGTTTAAGATGACTGCTCATCAGGGTTTTGTCTATATGAATGATGAAATCATTGACGATGAATTCAAATGTTTGATTTGCAATGAACCGTTTGAACAAGCAACGTGTACACCTTGTGATCATACGTTTTGTCGATTGTGTATCGAACAATGGTTACGAAAGTGTGCTGATGAAAACCAAACATGCCCGATATGTCGTCGTTCATTATCGATAGATCAAGATTTGAAGCCAGCCAGTCGTATTATTTCAAATCGAATTGACCGATATCTAGTCAAATGTTTGGAATGTAAAATTGAAAAAATTCCGCGTGGTTCATTTTCTGATCATCTATCAAAAACATGTACACAAGCAAATGTTTCCTGTTTAGCATCTGATATTTTATGCAATTGGACAGGACCAAGATATCAACTAAATGATCATTTAAAAGCGTGTCCCTTTCAACAAATACGTCCTATTCTAGAACTCATTCACACTAAAAACAATCGACTCGAACAAATAATTACTGAACAACAGCAACAGATCAAAAATATCGATGAACGATACCATACACAGCAAGTTCAAATTGATGAATTAACTAAAATTATTGAAGTTTTAAAAGGTTTGTCGGCAATTTATTTGCCTCGCAGTTGTTATTCTTTGGAAAAACTTTGTAAAATATCTTATACAATCATTTGTTTTAGCGTGGAAAGACCCAAAAATAAAGAGAACAATCAACTTCGACGATTTAGGTGAACAAGACGATGAACTAGAATGTTATGGCCAGATTCCCTTAAATTATGCTGGTTTTACATGGAACAATGGTGCTTTTATGCCTCAACAACATGGGAAAAGTTCATATCCAAATACTGGTTTTGCAACTGCTTTTAAACAAAATCAAAAATGTGTCATATTCAATTTTGGATGTCGATCAATTAAATTACACGATTCTCGAAACACATTTTGTATTTTATCCTTTGAAGCAACGTGTGCTTTTCAAGATGAAGTTATTTTAACAGTCACTGGTCGACGTGCTGGGAAGACAATGCAAACAATGATCTTCACACTTCGTTACCACGAACTAAAAATCTTTGATCTGAACTGGGACAATATTGATGAACTTGAATTCTCACCTAAGGGCGGAAAACAACTTGCAACATCTACAGACACTGATAGACATGTCATTTTGACAACTCTAAATTTTAATTGAATATCATTTTCTAATCACATTTTTAGTGTGACTGTTTAACAAGTTTTGATGATTGCAAATAGCAGCGAACAAAAATGTTGTCCGAAGTATTTTATGCATAGACGAATGTTGAGGTATATACAGTAGGAGCTTGTTTTTGGTAGTATGACAAGCATCCTATGTAACAATATCAATATGTTGGTCGCTGACTATGACAGTTGTTATTGATATTTTTTACTAAACATATTTTCTCTCCGTTATAAAACTAAAAAAGAGCAAGCTCATTCGAATCAACAACCAAGATTATTTAGTACTATTGAGGTTTCTGTTCCGGAGATAGCGTTTGGTATTTGATTTGAATTACAAATATTGTTCGTAATCATAAAAGAAGAACCAGTCACATTAAAGCCTTGTCCATTGGCAAAGATACGACAAGCAATAATTTGATATTGTGTGACTGATTTATTCGGTATCCAGATACCACGCCCATTATTATTACGCACTTCAACGCCATTCAGAATAAATGTTCCGCTGCGTACTGTCAGACCGTTACACCAGTCAGATTCTTTGGGACATTCGTATACTCCACCATTGAAAATTGTGCCTCCACTAATGGATAGAACTGCTGTAGTATTTTCATCAATAAACACCTGATCGATTGTGCTTGATGCTGCCCATATGCCAATAATGGACACATAACTATTATCACGAATGACTAAACCTCGACCATTCGAATCAATAGTAGCATGACTAATAAAAATTTCTCGGTTCGAACCAACACCACTACTATTCGCGATCAATATTCCAGTGCCAAGAGCAATGATATCTGTATTTTCAATATGAACACCACCATTATTACCCGTGCAATGAATGCCAATACTCGAATCAAAACGAATACCGGCTCCAATAATTCGACCACCTAAAATGCGAATCTCTGAACCATAACCTATTTGTATTCCTGTACCCTTAATTTCCCACATGACGACATCACGTATAGTATTCGTATCTGCCACACCCATCATTCCTATACCACTAGGCACTGGAAAACTTTTTGAATCATTGGAATTGATAACCAGATGTTCGATTTGACTTTGAACTAAGTCTTCAGCATAAATTGCAAATTTATCCAAGGATTTTAAAACAACACTTGATGTTATAGAAAAATCGCGTATTGTCAATTGTGATGACTCGCTGCCGTCTTCTACATAAATATAATATATAGTAAGTATATTTCGTAGAGCCAAACCATCGAAACAAAAAAAGTATCACTACTCACGTGACAATATTACAATGAGGTGATCATCGAATTCCCATGATAGAACTGAGCCTATCCCATCTCCAGTTATCGTGAACTTAAAATTGGTCTTGAAAATCAACGATGAACGAACTACAAATTTGCCAGTCGGTATATAGAGTACGCCACCACTTTCCATGCACTTATCGATAGTTTCAATAATGGCTCGTGTGTCGTCGGTCACTCCATCACCTACAGCGCCGTAGTCTCGAATATTAAAAATAGTCGAATAGACAACGTGAAAGTTGGTTAATAATACCACAAGAAGAACAACATTTATGTTTACCATAATCAACACTTTTTACTTCACATACAAGAAATAAATTCTCAGTTTTACGACTCTTATCAGCAGTATGCATTTCTAATCTTAAGTATCACAACAAAAGCTATCAATTTATTTAATTATAAAAGAAAAGAAAAGAATATTCAAAATAAATTATAAAGTATTATAAACTATATTTATTTGTAAATATAAATTATCGGTAATTGCACACTCACGTACTCAAGACAGTTTTTATTGAGTATCAATGATGAGTGAACGATGTCTTGCCTAAATTTAGTTTGCAATAAAAAAACGAAGACACGCCAAGCTTCAACATGATAGTGCCGTATGCCAATTTTCATTCCAATGGACCAAACGAACTTTCGTTCAATAATCATCAATATCTTTTAGTAAATAAAATTCTGTAAGTGATTTTTAAATATGGCAATGCTTGACCATTACGATAAACTATATATTCCGGGAATCATCAGCGAAATAAGCACCGCGACTTAAACGATAAACCTAGGTATGTCCCTATTCTAAACTTAATTTCTTCAATACATATAATATCTATGCTATTTCCGATCAATTGTATCTTCCTTTCAATAGCTTGATCAATAGTACTCGTATGATGTAAAGGTGCAAGAAGTGCTTTGCATTTTCTATGTGGATCTGGTAAAGCATTGTACATTGGCTCTAACTTTTTCCAATGGCGAGTTTCTGTCATTTTTCAATAGGCTCAGTGAGTCTATGGTCAATAGTACGAAGAACATAAAACTGTTTATTTTTGATATTATGAACAATTGTTTCAAATTGAATTGAATAAGGTTTTTGTTGAATATCAATACGCATTCCCAAGTCACGTGTATGATGTTTTTCTAGTACCAAATTACTACCATCAAAATCAATGCAACCATGTGTTAACGCAACATGGGGCTCAATCAAATCCACGGTGAATGATCCTGTTAGAGCATCCACATCAATTAATAAAACATATCTCCATTCTTCTCGATAAGTTTTGCATCTAATACTCAATTTATGAAGTTCATCTCGAAACGTTTCAATATCAAAATCACCATATGTTGGTAAATGGCAATCCAAATCAGCTGGAACAAATTCTTTTTCCATATAGGGAATATTTTCATTGTAACGATTTGGTTTATATTTATATTCAATTCAATCATTTGGATTTTCAATAGCTGGTCGTGCTGTATAGTTTCCAACGATCCAATCTCGAGCAAAACTACCTTCTAATTTACAGACACCTACAGCTACCCAAGCAACAAGTTCCATTCGTATTTCTTTCGAACCTTTGACATTATTATATAAATCAATGGATGTTCGTTTAGGATCTGTGCCATGCGAAATTCGCTCATCAATATCTTGACAATCACGACGCACTTTTGAACGAAGAAGACGTGGCGACATGCCTAATGTAGAAATCATTTTTGTTAGAATAAGTTTAGTCTAAGTCAATGATAGATCATATCACTTTACCTGAGTTTGGATGTCTAACAACAATAGAAAACAATGGAAAAAAGAAACTGATTTTTACATACACGACGGAAAGATGACCTGTATAAATTCGTATCGATCGATATTCCTCTTGCACGGCCATATACCAATGTGTAGTGCTTGAAAAGCTCTCTCGAATCAGGCTTATATTAACTCGATTAGTCAACTCTGTGTTTGATAAAAACTCTGATTACCAATAATGGTTAGGCTCCATGCGCGTGTAACTTTCCTGCACTGATTCTACCGGCTCAGTCACTGCAAAATCAAGGTTTTAAGGAATAAATGTACTCGTGATGATGCTCCGACATTGTATAGACAGCTAGGATCATGTTTTTCGAGGGGGCCAATTTCTCCATAAAACGAACCTTCAGCCTTTAAATGACGAGCTCTTAAAAAGTTTTCTCTTCTATAGATCACCACTTGGCAATGCGGTATAGATAATTTTGATGTCACCAACATCGTAAAGTCAGACTTAATATCAAAAGTGTGTAGAATATTTTATTATAACAAAGCTCTGTCAAGATACGGTATATAAGATGCATGGTATTGATTTTTAGAGCTAATGAACGCCTTGATATGTGAGGAAAGGAAGGAGATATTATTATATTTTTAATCAACGAAATTATCGTCGATGAAAAGCCTAGCCAATCTATTTTGACGTATCCCACATGAATCACAAATTAGAACAAGATCCAACATGAAAATAAGAGAAATAAAATTTTATAGTTCTTTCAAAAATGCCACTGTTTTACATTGTTTTGATGAAAATGAACCTGTGGATAGAATAGATTTTTCTGCAAACCACATAAATCTGTGGAGCGTGACACGATGCAGTCTTTAATAGTAGAGGCTTTTAGTTGCAATTCAGTTTTTACGTGCAATAGTCTTCCTCAAAAATGTAAAAAATCGTCCATGTAATATAAGAATTATATGTATCGACGTTATTTGATCTTATAGATCAGAAAAAAAGTTCAACTGAAATACGATTATTATGCCATCGTGTAGAGCAGAAAATACTGGATCGATCTATGCTATTAGTTTCTACATCGAATTGTAAGGAAGAAAAAAGTGCCTACAACATTTATTATTCAAAAAATTCAAAGATTAATATGTCTTGTAAAAGGGATTTAGTCTTGTAAACTTTTTCTTTATATTTGACCGAAACGGAGAAAATAGACAGACATGTTCAGCATTTCATGCTCTATCTTTCTGAACTATGAAAAGTTAGTTTAAAGGGGAGTGGTAGCTTTGCTTTGCTATCCCGCGGTGTCCTTTGTCAGTACTATCTCAATCATTTCTATTTGATAAATAATAACTCAAAAAACAGCTTTTCATATAAGATTTTTTGATGATTTAGACAGCCATATATTAGAGTTTCATTTACGTCTGGTGATCCAAGCATAATATTTAGGTATTTATTAGCAAGAAAAGTGAAATACGCACAGTGAGATAAAAATACAATTGAAACATATTATAAATTGACTTTATAATATTTTTCAACCAACGATGGAATATGGAAGTTTCACAAAATATTATTAATTTCAACGTAATTACCCTACTGTGAATGCCATCTTAATTAACCGAATAATATTGCCTTTGGATACGGTCATCGTTTATAGAATTGTCCCCTATTCAGAATAAAATAAAAGAATGAATTTAATTATGATTGTAGGTGTGAGTGCAAAGAAGACGTCCGACGCCCTTTGAAGGTAAATTCGTGATTCAAAACTGAACTCCACGTATTTATTAGATATAAAAAGAGATTCTGAAAAAGTAATATATTTATTTTCTATTACTCGTTCTCTAATAGAAATATACTGAAATATCAATAATCAACTTGATCAGCAATTCAGCACCCATCTCATATACCGAACATATCCCACATAAAATATTTCCTGATTTCACTACTACGCATTTTTATTAGTACTGCAAGGACGTTCCTAAGTGCTCAAGGTTATAATAGTCTATTATTTCCAACAAGCATTTTCATGTATAATTGTTGCTGGTCATGAAATGTTTTCTTATTCCTATTGCATTAAGGTGTAAAACAATCTTTTAATACAAGATTGATAGTTCTCTCGAAACATTCCATTAAAATAATATCATTTTTTTTAAAGCATCCGTTTGCAAATGTAATTGACATTCTTCACAAAACCCGGTGATATTTTTCTAAATGTATCTTAATAGTATCTTGTCATAGAAGCATAGTTTTGACTGCGACAGAAAATTTAATACTTTTATATATTACTAAATCAGCTCATTTCGGTGATATCATTTTTTTTTATGAGATCGTCTCAATGATTTATTTTAGTTGTAACTAGTTTCGCCTTTCAGCATTTACAATATGAAACTACTAACAGCAATATCTTCATACTTTTCTTATTGAAGAATAATGAAATTATTATTTTTGACGTTGTGTATAGAATATTCAACGAAATATATTCATTTAGACATCAGTAGGAACGAAACGATAAAGTTTTCAAAAATTGTGTTTCTGATAAGTTATAATTATATAATAGGTATACAATTTTCAACAAAATCATCCTGTTTTAAAAGATAAAAAAACCTAAGGAAATCCTACAAGTATAAGTAAGAGGCGCCATGAGCGAGAATTATGTTTCTAGCCAGTCAGGCATTGATATGTGCTTCGCCCTGTTTCGGCCTTTGAAATAACAGATTATGTTTCACTCATATATTGTATTAATTTGAAATTCTTTCCATACTATAATAGCGATCAAAGTTTCTCAATCCAATTCAGCTTCATTATAATAAGCTATAGAGTAAAATCCGTATCCTTATATTTGATCACAAATAGCTAAAGCTAATAGCATCTCTAAGAATACACCCTCAAGATAGAACACCCTATAAAGATGTTTTTGTTCCCGTGACTTGTTGTGTAGATCACTTTTAACAACCTTTTTGCTGAAAATCTGTTATCATCTATCGAGAAAACCAACACAAACGAGATCTTTCTTAACTTCACAAGCTATTATAATGTACTTTGTTAATATTGATTGTTTACAGAAGATAATTCTTTGTTGACGCCGTCGAGGAAAATTGAAGATATGCCCTTTTGTATCTGTTCACCTACTATATACTATAGGGAGAAAACGCGGGAAGAGTTGCATCGTTTTATATATTTATATTTAACATCAAGATGCAGTTAAAAGTTAAAAGAGTGTCTTAGAAAAAACGTTTCTTTTAAATTATTTCGTATAATTCTTGGCTTAGGTAAATGGTAAAAACTTGAATTCTTCTCCGAAACAGGCTCTACGAAAAGCTCTATTAAACTAGTAAAGACCAAATTTTATATCGGGTCCAAAACGCCCTAGCAATATTTTCTATTTGATGGGAATTGACGGCAAATCGTTCATCTTCAGTAGAAGAAAAACCATCAAAACGAATTCGACCATATAAATTTTGTAGAGTTTTTCACAGAGCATCTTTCGCAGGAATTTACAATTTAAACTACATTTCATGTTAAACAAATATATGGCTTCTCGCTCCTAAAATGGTGACAAAAACGAGTTAGAATAATGTTATTTAGTCACGATAGTTATAATTAAGTTAATTCAATGTTTCAAATGAAAACCCACATGCATATATATATAAATTATTAACTAGCACATCATTGGTTGGTGTTAGTTGCATATATATCTTATCAGGTTCTACTTCTGAGATCAGCGTGCCTGGAACGGAGAGTTTTGTATGTTGAAATCTAGAAAGAGAAATAGATACAAAGAGAAAAAAATAGAGTAAAAAGGATTGGCCAACCAATATATAAGTGCTGCTCACTTTTATTAATTTACATCAGTCTATGTAAGTATTATACTTTGCGACACATTGATCAGTAGAACTTTTAACTAGAAACATGCTTTATACGTATTTTTTGTATTAAACATCGATAGTTTGAAGAAGATATATTAGAATCGGTTATAAAAATTTTATATTTATGATTGATATGACATAGTTCAACTTCTGCCTTTGAAGTTAAAAGTTCTATATCGACGGTATGAGTACTCTCGATATGTCATCTACTTTCAGGAAATATTTCAAATTCACATTACACAATAAGATTCATATTTTTTCTCGTGTCTTTTTAGTACAATAGTGTCCGCTATTTTAAAGAGAAAGATGTCTAACGTATCACATGACCAGTTTCTTATCGAGTTACTCAACAACATTACAATAGATTTCAATCGTTCTCTGGCAGTTTTAATTTTTATATTTGGTGTCGTGGGCAATATTCTCAATATTCTTGTTCTCTCACAACGACCATATCGTTCTAATCCATGCGCTTGGCTTTTTTTGGTATTGTCCATTGTTAATCTTGCCTCTCTCATATCTGGTCTTATCACAATAATGATCGATGGCTGGACGACCAATCCAACCGATTA